GTCGTTGTTGTATTAAAAAAACAAGCACATAATTGATTTATTGCATCTTCCGAGAAGCGAGTCGCGAACGACAGGAGTTCATCCCTGGTTGCAGTACTCATACCGAAGAGGAGTTATTGTGATGTCGAGCAGCTTCTATGGTGTTTTTACGTAGTTTTTCGCATGATGTAAACGAACACTCATCATCAAACTCTTCGAATATTTTTTAAGTATTTGTATTTCTTTTGGAACAAACCACGTATGTAACAAAGCACGAATAAAACCAAAACGAGTCACCAGATCACTAGTGAATGCTAGAGGAAATGACTCTTGGTAAGTTCGTCTTCGCTGTCTTCTTCCATATGTGTAGATAGAAGATATTTTCCTTCTCGTGAATAGAAAAGATAGATAAGTGACTTCTGCAGGCTGTAGTGTTGCAGCCTCTAGGCTGTGACTAATCTACTTCACGGGTACTTGTAACTACGTATAATTAGTTGGAGGCTGCTCGTTACAGCATTGCATCTCTCAATGTCATCCTTCGTCTTTTTTCAAGCACTAGAATGAAACAAAATGATGAATCAAGAGGATGCTTTGAGGACGAATGCGATTGAGTAGGTAGCTTCTCACTTATTTGCGGAAGGTAGAAATAAACAACGCTAATCAAGAACGCTAGAATCAATTTGAATTTTTTGAATAGATATAGCAGAGTAGTTTATAGCACGCATGGTGCATGGAGTGCATGGAGTAGCATGGAGTGCATGGAGCGCATGGAGCGCAGAGCTTTAAGGGGCGCAAGAAGCTCCCCCTTTAGCTCCATGCTACTCCATGTGATCCATGCACTCCATGCCATGCGAGCTGTGAAACCTTATAAACTGCTCTAATATAGAATTAACAAGCTGCGTAGTCGAGGCGATCTACCAGAAGGAATTAGATCTTTTATACTTACAAAGAGGCGAGTGAATAAGTATAATCATGCTCGTCAAAAAAAACATAGTGGATCCCTCACGTCCAACTCCTAGGGGAGGACAACTACGCCAGAGAATTTGTTCCATGTACAACTCGAAAAACTGAAATGACGTTGATGAGTACTTAGAAGGTAAAAATGGTAAGTGCGGGGGAGAACTAACACGGCTAAGTAATTAAAGGGAATAAGTAGACCACCGCGTCCACGTCTTCAAGTCCTTAAAAAACCCTACTTCTGTACTCAGAATTACTTAGTATAATGCTTCTCGTTCTCGGTTGTGGTGAATAAGTAGATGAGGAGTATTGCACCAGTTAGCGGACTACTCGCTTAGTTACTTTCTTAGCTAGATGATCTAGATGCTATTTCTGTTTTTCGATTAGCAGAGAGGATGATCTACCAGAAGGAATATTCTACCTGCTATTTTCATAGAGGCGTTCAAAATAGCACTATGCTCGTGAAAAAAATGTAAAGATCATCTCTGTCTCTCTCGTACATTGGAACTGGAAACAATAGACACAAAGAAATGAACACAAACATGGAATCGCACAGGAAACATTGAAGCTTCGTTAAGCTAGCCAGAGAACCGGTCTACCTTAGCGATGTTCGTCGAAAATTTTAGAGAACTAGAAAGAGAGTCGTGAGATAGAACTAGAGCGCGGGATCGTACTGGCCATGAAAACCCTAGAAACTCAAGAATGATGTTAATTGAAGATTGAAGAGCGTGAGGTAGAACTAGAGCGAGCGAAAACGAGATGTGAAGTTTTACTGCGTATCTGCGCGAGTGCTGAGAGCCGCGCGGAAGGAACTTGTATGTGACTGAAGAGAGACTACATCTATATTTACAAGGCGAAGAACTTCTATGTGACCGAGAGAGGAGAGGCAACAAACAATGACACAGCTATTTGTGAGCGCTTTCATCTTCTACAAGGCGAATGATGAAGGCGGCTGTTGACATTAAATAGGATTTTTAAAATTTTTATGGAGAAGCTCATCAATCATAATGAGAATTTTTGCGCAGAGGACACGACTGTTCTTGACAGCAGGAGGCATATAGAGTAGTAAATATAGAAGAATCTTCGTACTAGATCAGCGTAAGTAAAACAGCCTGTTGCTGTTAGGTACTCATCACATCAATCATGTCGATGTCGTGAAGAAAGCTCTGAAAACAAGTTCAAGTTCTTCAGAAAATAAAGTCTCATAAGACAAAGACGAGCAGCAAGAACAAGAAGTAGAGAATAGAATGTCGAATATAATGTCTTCTTTTCCGTCCACGTTCATTTCCGGGCAGCAGGGTGGTGTGGCAACCGTGCCTGCTGCTATTCGCCACCATCGAGACTCGTCGCGAAGTCGTGCTTATCTTGACGCATTAACTGCAGACCTGGACAAAAAGCGACCGGCGTCTTCATCGTCCTCCTCTTTGAGTGGTGGCGCGACTGCTGGTAATCGATTGCGGAGTATGGATTTCGACTACGTGAAAAGAGAATACAACAAAAACAACATCTCTTCAGCAGCCGCAGAAAAATACTGTAGAAGGCATACTACTCCTGCTGGCGGTGGGACCTTCGCAGACAAGGAAAATCAACGTCCTGCTACATCATCTTCATCGGCATCCGTTTACGGAGCAGGCCACTCGTGGAAGTCTACCTACTACGCTCGCAGTCTAGACGCTCCTCCACTAGTTTCCTCTGAGTTTGCCACGTCACCCACGGGTCTATTTCGCGCAACCGGAACGGACTTTCCACGAATATCGTGGTCGGGAAGGAATCGAAGCCATTTGATATGTATGAAGAAAAGCGGGATGGAGAGAAGCATGTCTCGTGCAACTGGAGAGCACTATGTTACAAGAGGCGTCTTGGGAAGCAAACCAAGTGAAAGAACTGACTCAGTACTAGTAAACTCACGTGAAGAAGCCCATGATGTTGTTGTGAACCAAGAGAAAAGCTCAGAGTCAGAACTTGCAGCTCCTCCGATGCGGCGTAGTCGGAGAACAAGTGTGCTGCAATCATCTCTTGTGGAGGATGCGGAGGTTCTTCCCGATACTAAACTTGGTCAAACCTCCCATGTTGAAAATTTTCGTGGTGTTGAAAACAACAAGTCCAGGACGACAAGTAGAGGTGTAGAAAGTGCTGCATTTGTTTGGAGAATTTCTCCAGAGGAAATAGATGAAGACTTGAAGAACCATCTTCGTCTCCATCCTGTTCGAGATCAAAAACTGCAAAATGGATCAAAAAATGGTTGTGGTAATTCAACCAATATTGAAAGTGATACACGACCTAGACATTTTAGGGAAAGAAGTAGTCCTCCTGCTCCTAGGCATCTTCAAAGTAGCCCTGCTCTTAGACAGCATTTGAATCACCATCATCAAGCCCTTCTAGAGAACCATCTGCCTTCGTCTTATGCTATCCAACCTCAAGTTGTGGCATTACGATTGAAACGTGACTTCGAGCACAGTTACAACTAACAGTTTATTTTCAGACATAACTACAAGCAAGAAAAGATGAATCGAACCGCAAGAAACCAAACTCGTGGCAGAAACGCCGTAGGTGGTAAGAGGCCATTAGACGATGAGCAACTGGAGGAATTACGGGAAGCCTTCAATCTGTTTGACGCAGACAGGTCAGGTGTCATCGATGCGAGAGAATTAAAAGCGGCGATAAGGGCGCTTGGTACTTCTATTTTTCACGTAGAGAATGAACTGAAAGCGGCGATAAGGGCGCTTGGTATGAGTTGTTTTGATGCAACTGATGATTTGGTGGACGAAAATCGAGAAAAGCTGCTGAGTCATCCTCTATCCTACTTAGGACTCTGTCCACAGAATAATTGCTAGAACTTAAGTACTTACTTAGGACTCTGTCCACAGAACTTAAGTACTCGAAGCTATTGTTCATCGTCACAAATGATGCACAACATAAGACACCACCACCACGATCGCCTTGTTAGTCATCTCCTATCTCCGCCTACCAGGTTTTGTTGTGAAGAAAGAACAAGTCCGACAGATGCTAAGAGACGTAGGGAGGGACGTGCAGAGTCAGATAACTTTCGATGATTTTCAGAAAATCATGACGGGAAAGATGGGAGATAGGAATTCAAGAGAAGAGATAAACAAGGTAATTGTTTTTGGACTTGCTTATTGTACAACTAGCTTCTGTGACCATGATGATTGCTCGATCATTCAAGTAAAACATGAAGAAGACTCCGCTCTCCTTTCGCTATCAAAATCAAAAGCCAAAGAAGTGTTTAAGAACCCGCATCTCATCTATTTTCATCGAAGTCACATCTATCTTCATTAAACCCACTACATCTTCTATCTCAAGTAAATCCCCAAACCGGATCCCAGATATTCAAGCTCTTCGACGAAGATAACAGTGGGAAAGTCAGTTTTCGGAATTTGAAAAGAATAGCCCAGGAAATTGGGGAAACGCTGACCGATGACGAGCTTCAGGAGATGATAGACGAGGCAGATCGAGACGGCGATGGCTTGATCAATCCGGATGAATTTTATCGTACTAGCACATACATACATACATAGAGAGATAGATATATAGATACATACATACATAGAGAGATAGATACATACATAGAGAGATAGATACATAGATACATACGTACATAGAGAGATAGATACATACATACAGCACACTACTTACGCTAACACTATAGTCTAATCTAACGTTCAACAGGAGTTACACCTAGAGTCTAATTTTCATCAATGAGTCTAGATGTTGAGGAGCTGCTAGTAGAGCACTAATTTGTGATGTTCCTATTTCCAATATGCATGGATGAAGACGGAAGAGTTCACTTTTTTAAGAGCACCTAATCACACTTGTAGTTCTACTTCAGGTGTAATGCGAAAGCGTGGCGACAATCCTTTGGACGACTTTGATACCGACGATGACTAGATGACCTGGAGAACAGCTGCTGCTCATGGGTGGTTTGTCGTACATTAATTAAGATCCAGACCCGCACGACTTGTGCTTGTTGTATTAGAATTCAGACCGTCAACAGGATACAAGAAATGTGCAAGAAACCCTTCACTCACCACCACGTAGTAGAGAAAAGCATCAAGCTCGAGGCGAGGATGGCGCGAAGCGTCGCTGCTGTATGTCGCATTGCGTTGCTTGACCTGCCGTAGTCTGGCAGATGAAACGGAAGACGGGACACATCCCGGATGAATCTAAGTAAGCACGTCCACATGATGAAAGGTCGGAGGTTCACTGCTTCGGTCGGAAATCCATTCTTGTGCTGAGTTCAACAAGCTGCTCTGGTGGCGACATTTCGTCACGATTGTCACAAATAAAGAAGTTGTAAATAAAGTTTCTCTTCATGTAGTCACAGCAGGACAAATGAACAGGCCTACATTCTCTTTCTATCTGATACTTTTCCAAAAGTTTCTCTTTCTGCCTCTGATTAAAAAAGAAATTGTAACCCTGTGTAATTTCAGTAGTTTTTACTACCAGCATCCGACTTGTGTTTTTGTATTTGTAGGCTGGCTTTAGTGTAGATCCATCGTTACCTCGAGTCGAGCATGCTATTATTAATTACCATCAACGCTGATGCTTAGGCAGTTGAACAGAACACCGAAAAAATGTCGTGGCGAGGACACAATCACGAACGAGGCGGCTCAAGACCGTCAGAGCAACAGAAAAATAGGCCGTCATGGATCCAACAATTCCTGAACGACCCACAGCAAGTGCCTGCAGTCGTCGTACGCGTGACGCGTGAACATGTTGCGTTGTTGCTCTTGCCGAGACCAGAGCATGATGAAGTCTATCCTCCTGTGCCTCGCGTGAGATCTTCGAGCTCTTCTTCCAGTTCCAAGAAGACGACTGGTTCTTCATCTCCCAGTTCTTCTACCAATAAGACCCCAACAGCCACTAGTAATTCTAATACTGCTTCATCTGTGTCTCGTCGGTACTACTACCTCTCTCCGATTCATGTGCAGCAAGTCTTTTTTCCTGACCAAAAGAGCGTCGTTGGACAGCAGGACGACAAAAACGCAGCGGCCTTACCGTACCTGCAGAAGCTCGACCAAGATTTACGGCAGTGTCGTAGGGGCTGTACCAGAGAGGGATTGATCAAAGGATCACCAGAATGGGCGCGCGCGTGGTCGAGGTTTTGTTTGGTGTTGAAAATTGTTCCTGTCGCAGGTGAAGCTAGAAAACGCAATAAAGCTGAAACTGGACGCATAAAAAACCCAGGAATTCGTGGCAGCATCACGCAACGTCCCATGAACCTAAAACTTGACACCAATGATGCAGCCTTGACGACTTTCTTCGGTGGGCTGCTTTCCCGAAACGAAGCTGTGTTGGAGAAGATTTTGAAGCGGCTCAAAAGTTATACAATGTCCTCTTCTTGTTCCAAACGATATCAAACACTGTCAAGCTTGACACCAAGAAAACTATTAGAGCTCTTACCCCTTGACGAACTAGAAGGTGATGATGGGTGCTCTATCAAGGATGTTGAAACTTTGGAAACCACGACATCCCATGGAGGACAACATCTTGTGTTACTACCCTTCTTGACGAACACTGGAATGCTGTTGCGAAAGGTTTTGTCGAAGGGAGAAGTAGGTCGTGGAAAGGATGCTGGAGGTCGACAGAAGAAACTCTGGAATCTGGAATCGACTCTCTTCCACTGGCAGTTGCGGAATCTAATCTTTGGAAATAAGGTCCTCAAGGCGGTCAAGGTCCTCTCAAAAATTGAACTTCTCGTCACTTTCATCATTCGCCGCCGCAGGAAGCAGGGAAACAGCGGATCTGCTCTCGTTTCGCTGATGTCTGCGAACTGGGCAGAACTGACTTTGCTGTTACGTCATGCGGTGAGGCTTTCTAAGGTGAATAAAGTGCGACAAGGCAAGATTATATCCACAAAAAATAAGCAGCTGAAGGAGCTGGATAAAGAATCTTCGATCGTCGTGATTACTGAAGACCAAAGACTACAACACGCACCAGACGCAGCTCTTCAAACTTTCACCTCGCTTCTTTGTCGTCTGATCGCGTGTGTCTCACCTACACAGGCATATTTCAGAGAGGCTGGCTATGAGCTAAACGTTTCATCTTCTAAACAATCAGTAGTAGAGCTTGACGTCGAACAATCTAAAGCTGTAGGTCTCGACGCTGAACAACAAGACCAGTTCGAACAACAAGACCAGTTCTTGGTACAGCAGCTTCGTACCGAGGCCTTCCGCATCTTCGACCCTTCAGAATGGCTTGCTAGTAAGCGCAAAGACAGCAATGCTTTCCTGGTTTTGTGGAAACAGGATATTCGAAGGGGATGTGGGTTGCTGGCGGTGTTGAGGAAGGAAGTTGCTGCGACGGCGAGCAGAAATTATATTAAGTTGGAAACTTCCTTTATCATCACAAGGGTTGAAGAGAGTCTCCTCCTACGTGTTCTGAGCACTTTTCAGTGTGTCCTGTTGCCGACTGTCGAAAAGCATCTGCTGAATGCACTTACTGACCACTCGTCTTGCTTGGATGAAGACGCCTTCGAGATTAGTGATGCCGAAAAAAGGCTAGCGGAAAAAAGGCTAGCAACGTCAAGCGCACTGCTAAAACAAGTCATTGTCGCATCCCTGCATTACTTGCACGAGTTTGTGCGTCCATTGCCAGCAGGGGGACTGTTTTCTACTGAAGGGCGCATTTGTTTCGCTGATGCGTCGCAAACTCCAACAAGAACGCACTCAGCGACTGGCTACATGTGGTCTAAGCTTTTGAGTTTGATTGTATCTCGGATTCAAGAGCAGGCGGCGAAGACGTCGATCACGACAGACCTTTCTAGTGAAGACAAGGATGGCGATGTTGATTTGGATGCTATTGCTGGATCTCGGATTCAAGAGCAGGCGGCGAAGACGTCGATCACACCAGACCTTTCTAGTGAAGACAAGGATGGCGATGTTGATTTGGATGCTATTGCTGGATCTCGGATTCAAGAGCAGGCGGCGAAGACGTCGATCACGACAGACCTTTCTAGTGAAGACAAGGATGGCGATGTTGATTTGGATGCTGATTTAAGGCTCAGCTTTCAATGGAGGTCATAGGGGTTGGTCACGGAGATCGAAGAAGCGACCCCTTTAGAGAACAGGGGAAAAGGAAGGGAAAGGGGAGAGCTTTGAAGGGGGTCGCTTCAGTTCAGCATCAGTGACCATTGAATGCCGAGCTTTAACTGATGCTGGAGGAGAAGACGGCGATATCGACTTGGATGATGGCGATGTTGATGGCGATGTTGATTTGGATGCTGATGCTGGAGGAGAAGATGGCGATATCGACTTGGATTCCGAGGAGGAGGAGGACATCAAAAAAGGCTGCCTGAAGATGTTAACGAACAAGGACTTCAAGGAAATCAAACACGCTCTGACTTTTATCGCTAAGGAGCTTCAAAAGCACGATCCGAACGGAAAGCATGTGTCCATGGAGGAAGTTGAAACGTTTCTGGAAGGGTTGAAGAGCTTTTCGGATGATGATATCGCGGAAAATGAGGAGGTAATTCACACAGAGGACGAAGCAGCCACTGTGCCAGTTCTTGCTGGACAGCGCTTTGAAAAAACATTTGGTTTGAAGCCTAAGGACGAGTCAGAGTCGTCTGGCAGTGGAAAGGCTTCGGATGTTCCCGCAACCTATCATCTTGTCGACGCAAGAACTCTACTTTTAGACGAGACAGCGACGACTCCAAGAACTACATCCTCGACAGCTCGTAGGTCATCTGCAGCCTCAGCATCTTTTTTTACCTCTTCTACTTTGGGAGACAATCATAGAACAGTTGTCTACTTGCAAGATCAAGAATGGCCGAACCCCGAAGATCTGGTGGGTCTAGAGGACGAGGTTAACATCGGGAAAGCGGGGGATATTAACGAAAATATGGAGTCAGAAGTAGGAAAAGCGCCTGGAGGTGCGCCTGCGGATGAAGATAAGAGTAAGGACGATGCTGAAGCCCTCGTCCCTCTCCCGAATGCAGCTGCTGTGGAGAACAATACCAGTTGTATATTAGCTGAAACTACAACACTGAAGAATGAATATGAAAATAAAGATCAGATGAAAGATATCATAAAAACGCTCATGGATAAAGAAAATCCCGCAGAAGATATACGCGCGAATAAGAAGAGACAAGAAGTGACGCAACCCAGTCAGGAAGATCATCCCCCAATGAAAGTATTGAGAAAATGCTAAGAATACGGCTCCTCTCTCTGGGTTCTTGAATTCCAACGTGTAAATTTCCAAAGAAACCCCAGTTGGGGGTCCTGCTCATTCCAATCACATATCAGAATTCCCACATCATGATGCTAAAAAAGTCCAGACGACAGAGTCAGTGGTCTCTGACTGCCTCAAAGGAGCCGTTGCCGGTGATGTTCGTCTTCCTCTCAAGGTTCGTGTTGCCAAGCGCTTGCTCAAAATGACCTTCGAAGAAAGTCCAGGTCTGTCAATGTTGATTTGAATGCCAGACTCGAGGTCTGTCAAAACTTCTTGGCGTTGAATGCCGCTGCAAGTACTGACCATAAATTTCCATTTTTCTTGCACGCTAGTGGGGCGGACGCAGTTCAGTACCAGGAGCTCTGTACAAAGTAATCCTCCTTTCTCATCCCAGCGCAGGCTGACTAGGATACCTTCATGTAGTCTAGACCTAGTTGTTGCTACTTTTTATCCGAACAATGTTCATATGGTCATGCTCCAATTGGTAATCTAGCACCTCTCCTGTACAGTAGTTCTTAGTAATTTATCATGAGAATTACTAATGACCTGTGCATTTTTTGAGTGGTAATAAATTTAACTAACTACAAGAACAATAAGTTCTTAGAAGAATAATCAACTACAAGAACAACAAGTTCTTCTACATCATTTACAAGAACAATAGACATAGAGAAAAATCAAAAAAATGACGTTAAAACGCCTACATGCCTCGCCTGAGGAGCAGGCTAATGGCGCTTCCCCAGAACGAGACTCCCGTCTTCCCGTCACCGTCTTGTCGGGCTTTCTTGGAAGCGGCAAGACAACCACGCTCACCCACGTCCTAAGCAACAATGCTGGTCTCAAAATTGCCTTGATCGTGAACGATATGGCCAGCGTCAATGTGGATTCCTTGGCCATTGACAAGGTCACCAAAGAGCAGATGCTACGAAGCAGTAAGATAAAACTACAGGCTGAGTCCTCGTCCCCTGAGAAGAATGAAGGAGTAGATCAACGAGCCCAACATCTTCAACAAGTAGAGCAAATAGACAAGCCAAAAATGGTCTCTCTTCAGAACGGATGCATCTGCTGCACTCTGCGTGAAGATCTAGTAGAGCAAGTCTCGGAACTAGCCGCAGACAACAAGTACGACTACTTGATCATCGAAAGTACGGGCATTTCTGAGCCAGTGCCAGTAGCCCAAACCTTCTGTCACTCGTTGAAAGAGCTAGAACAAATGGCATCTGGTGAAAACCAAGAAGAACAACCATCTGAACAACCATCTTCTACACTGTCTAATAATTCCGAAGCAGAGCTGCACAACAAAAAAGTAGCGGTTCAGGCTATCCAGCTTCAGAAAGTTGCCAGACTCGACACCATGGTCACCGTTGTCGATGCAGCAGAAATTTGGGAGGTTCTAGGCTCCGTAGAAACGCTTAGAGATTCCAAGTGGTCTCAAAAAGAAGCTGCAACAAGTACAACAGACGACAGCATAGATTTGGATCGAAGCATCGTTGACTTGCTAGTGGACCAAATCGAGTTCGCGAACGTGATTTTGTTGAACAAGAAGGATCTGCTGCTTGGCGGACGTGATGGCGGAAGCAAGTCATCAACCTCAACAACTACAGCTGTATCAACAAATTCTACAGCTATATCAACTACACCTGAAAATAAGCCAATGAGCGACAACCCGAGTGGTCCCACGAATAGAGATAGTTCTACCAGTTTTTCCACGTCTAGCCCTCCTAGCAGAAGCAGTGATGGTGCAGAAGACCCTGCAGCTTCATCACCGACAGAAACTGCTGTTGCCCCTACATCATCTGGAACGGCGACGTCTGCAACGACTGAAGCAAGTGTCTCTTCCGCCTCCAACACTGCGACTTCCACTTCATCCCCGTCACAGCTATCAAAAGTCCGCCTGATCGAAAATCTCATCAAAAAACTCAACCCTCAAGCTCAAGTTCACTGGACAGAATACGGCAAGATTGCTCCAGAACTCATTCTAGGAACCAATCTCTTCGATTTCGAAAGAGCCTCCACTATGGCGGGATGGCAAGCGGAGTTAGCAAATAATGGACATCATATCCCCGAAACGGAGGAATATGGCATATCGAGCGTTGTCTTCCGCGCCAAGAGACCGTTTGTGCCCTCTAGACTGCAGAAGATTCTGGATGGTTTTGGTAGGGTGTCGGATCACGTGGCTGAAGTGATGATTGCTGATAAAAACAAGGTTGCTGATCATAAAAACAAGGTAGTTGTAGTAGAGTCTGAATCTTCACCTACAACAGCATCTTCATCTTCTAATACCCCTCAACCAGAAGCACCAGTAGTAGTCCCCGTATCAAAAAAAATGACCGAAGAAGAAAAAGAGAAGATGCTTTTCAAAGGCGTCATTCGTAGCAAGGGTCACATTTGGTTAGCAAACTGCTCTGCGTATCGGATGGAGTGGCATTCTGTGGGTAGACAATTCGCTTTGAGACAGGGATTGCCTTTTGATGCGGCGATAAGAGAGGCAGGGTATGACCCGGATGACCCTTTTGGAGAAGAAGCGGCAAGCAAGGAGAAGGAAGCTACAACTTCTAGTATGACAGAGAAGGAGGACAAGAAGTCTGAAGTGAATAAAGATAAGGTGGAAGAAAAAGAAGTGGAGGTAGATGGTAAAGAGAAGAAGAAACTGAAGACTTCTTCCGCATCTGAAGGGGTGCCCAATGGTTCTAGTTCCACGTGTACTTCTACAGAAAAAGCACGTGGAGTTTCATCTCCTAGCAGTTCCGATCCAGCATCTTCAGCATCTTCTTCCACCACAACCAAGACCAACGACCTTTCAGCATCTTCTTCCACCACTTGTTCCACGACAAATAGTACCATCCACGACCCAGTCTGGGGCGACCGCGAAACTGAGCTCGTCATCATCGGCATCGGACTCGAAAAAGAAAAGATCACCAAAGCCCTCACCGCCGCTCTTGTTTCCGAGAAAGAAATGAAGGCTGCTGCCAAGGAGAAACAGCGATTCGAGACCTACATCAATAAGGTGAAAGAGGACCAGAGAACTGGCAAATTGAAGAAGCCTCCGAGCGGGAGACAACTGTTGAAGGGGACTGGGGGTCTGCAGAGTCCATGGGACAGATTTCATAGATACAAAGACGTCTTTTTTGGTGGCAAAGCGCATCGAGAGTACATGGAGTTTGAACAGTGAGGTGACAACAACACTTCTGGTTAGGAGGTTGAAGTGAATTTAACTAAACAGTCGTGACACTTCATCTAAGGACGTTGATGAACTTACCATCATCTGCATGACATTTAGAAGAAGTCTTAGCTTTTGTTCAGACTGACATTTATTAATTTAGACACATGATCGTGAATTATTTTAGTTGTGATCGACATCGACTTAGTTACTAGTAGATGTAGACGCTTGCTGTACAACTTGTTGATCATTGTGATAGATATCCGAACACAAGCAGTCGATAGAAACAAGATGAGAGTGCTCGCGCACTTACTCTCCTTAAGACCTAAAAATGTTCTCGATGTTGTACTCTCCTCAAGCTCAACACCTAATATTCTCGATGTCTACAACAATTGATTTATAAAGATTTCTCCCTCCATATTACGTGGTGTACCGAGTATGTTCTTGGGAGAGTCTTTTCGTCAACAACTAATATTATCGATGTCTACATTTGCTTGGGTGATGACTTTATTTCTCTATACGACAGCTAGTATGATGGAGAAAGGCTGACTCTTCGTCAACAACTACTATTCTCGATGTCTCTAATATAACACAAATTTGATAGCCCCTTTCCAACTGATCATGTTGGTAAAGAAGTTGGCTCAACAACTAATATTCTCGATGATATCACTATCTAAAAAGTGGAATTGACTGGTGTTTTCAGGTTTGTGCTTGTGCTCAGTAGTTCCTCTTCGGGACTACAGCTACCTAGCACAACATGGCACCAAATCAAGTCAACAACTAATATTCTCGATGTCACCTATGAAACAGATTGACGGTGGTGCTCCCTCTTATGATGTAGCAAAGTTGCAGTAGTAGAGGCGTTCATAGGCTGTACCAGAATCTGTATGTCATTTTGTCCTCTCAGCAGGTAGATCGTTTCATAAATTGAGTGGTAAAATCATGCCTTCCCTGAATCTTCAATGAGAAAGTCTTCTGACAGATGGCCACCAAGCGGCCTCCGGGGATGCATCTTCGTCCCAAGCGTCCTCATATGTTCCACCAGGCATCCTTAGGAAGATCCGCGTGGATGAATTCTAAGGCCAATGAAAAAAAAAAAAAAAATCCGCTGCGGAGCTATCGATCCTATTCATTCCCATGCATGTTGGCGTGATGGACACAAGAGAAAGATACGACATTCTGAATCTGTGCCCTCTGGAGGCAATGTGATTGATCAAAAATCTTGTTTCCCAGATTACCGATCAACATCATGTCCCTGACTTCTCAAAGAACAAAGTTGCGCCGGTCCAGTGAATGCTTGTCAAAAGCTTTACAAACAGAACAAAGCTGCAACTTCACGACGAGCAACTTCATCATCCTCAACTTGAAGCTCGATGTAGAAGGAAGTAGTCTGTACTGGTCTTTTCTATCCCTGGAGTGGGTACATTCATTCATTCATTCACCCATTCAACTTTGTAACTTACAAGACAACTATCTGAAAACAAGAGTCTCTCCTACAACCCAACCCAATTCGCCAGGCTCAGTCTTCCCTCTAATCTGTCCCCAATCTTCTCACATTAACTTCAAGACTTATAAACTAGTTTACCTAACTTCAAAACCTTCTTCTAAACTACTTTCCTACCATTATTTGTCAATTCAAAAAAAAGCACCACCATAAATATTAAGACGACTACCACAACCATCTTCAACGACATTTTTACCATATTCCGACGACCTTCAACAACTTGTACTTTCACGAAAGAACTTTTCCAGCTCCTCCACCAAAAAAAGAACTAAAAAGATGTCGGCTCCTAAGCGTCAACGTGTGTCCGAAGAGGACATCAAAAATTCCTCTCCCACTAGTGATGCCACCACTCAACAGCAGGATAACGATAAGCGCCTTCCAGTCACTGTCCTCTCCGGTTTCCTCGGATCTGGCAAGACGACCACTCTGACCCATGTTTTGAACAACAGAGCGGGTTTGAAGATTGCGTTGATCGTCAATGACATGGCTTCCGTGAACGTGGATTCTTTGGCTATCGACAACGTCACCAAGGACCAGATGCGCAAGGCGGCTGCTGATGCCGAGGAGAAGGAGAAAGTCCAAGCCCAAAAGCCCAAGATGGTCTCGCTTCAAAACGGTTGCATCTGCTGCACTCTGCGTGAAGACCTCGTCGAACAAGTTTCGGAACTAGCCGCCGACAACAAGTACGACTACCTGATCATCGAGAGCACTGGCATTTCTGAACCTGTTCCAGTCGCTCAGACGTTTTGCCACAGTCTCAAAGAGTTGGAAGAAATGGCGGGACATCATCATCACGACCACAATCATGACCACGAACACGCGGATGCTGCTCAAGGTGCTGGTGGCAAGGGAAAGAAGAGTGGAGAGCAAGACGACAAGGAAAAGGGAGATGTTGATATGACTGACGCCAATGCATCCAAGGGTACAGCTACAGGCGAGGCGGAGGACCAAGAACAACAGCAGCAGCAGCAGCTCTCCGAAGAAGGCCAGAAGAAACTCGCAGTTCAGGCCATTGAACTTCAGAAGATCGCGCGTCTCGACACCATGGTCACTGTGGTCGACGCAGCTGAGATCTGGGACGTCCTAGGATCAGTAGAGTCGTTGAAAGATTCGAAATGGTCCAAACAAGAGGCTGCGAACACAGAAGAGGGCTCTATCGATCTGGAAAGGACCATCGTCGACTTGTTGGTGGATCAAATCGAATTTGCCAACGTCATCTTGTTGAATAAGAAGGACGTGCTGTTGAAGGACGTAGTTGACGACGGTTGCGGTTCGGAGGAGTCAACAGGTGCGGGGAAAACTGGAGATCATAGACAAGATGCAGTCAAAAAAGATGACAAGAATGGGCAGATGAAACAGAAAAAAGTCGAACTCATCGAAAACCTAGTGCAAAAACTGAACCCACTCGCTCGCGTCTATTGGACCGAACATGGCAAGGTTGAGCCAACTAGCATCCTCGGCACCAACTTGTTCGACTTCGAGAAAGCATCTGCCTCTGCTGGCTGGCTACAAGAACTTGCCAACAATGGAAACCACGTTCCGGAAACCGAGGAATATGGGATATCGAGTGTCGTCTTTCGCGCTTGCCGACCCTTTGTCCCAAGCAAGCTGTACAAGATCCTCAATGGTTTTGGCCGTATGTCAGATCACGTCGCTGATGTCGTGGCCGCTAAGAAGGCCTCCAAAATGAGCGAAGCTGAGGAGAAAAACATGGTCTTCAAAGGTGTAATCCGCAGTAAAGGACAGGTGTGGCTCGCGAATTGCGCTGCGTACCGCATGGACTGGCACTCGGTCGGGCGTCAGTTCTCGTTGAACCGCGGTCAACCTTATGATGCGGCGATTCGCGAGGCTGGCTATGATCCGGCTGATTTTGCTGCACCAGTGGAAGACGAGGATGCAGAAAATGCTAATAATTTTGCTCATCATCGGAACAATACTTATGATGAAGAGTTGTTAGAGTGCCACAGTACTAGGGGGGATACTTATCTACTGCTAGTGGGATATCTAGATCTACCACTACTAGATGATGTCTGTGGTCCCCTTTTTTTCTTCCAAGTTGATGAAGTTTAGGCTCAGCGAGTTCCCTTGTTTAGAGAAATTAATGTCAAGTCTTTCCTCTTCCTCCCTACTAGATGGTGGTCGTTCGTTTTCGTCAGATTCTCAATATCGTCCTTGTGATGTATTTGGGGACATAGTATATCTCTCTTGCTTAATATAGCAGAGCGAACGTAATCTACTCTTCTAACCTCTGCGCGTCGACCAAGATGAAGCAGACGGCACTTTTGGAGACCGCGAGACTGAGCTTGTCCTCATCGGCGTTAGCCTCGACAAGGAACAAATCATCAACGCCTTGAACGACGCCCTTGTCTCCGCAAAAGAGATGAAGGCTGCCGCTACGAACAAGAAGAAGTTCGAGAACTTTATCGCCAAGATCCGTGAGGAGAGAGGAGAGGAGGGTATCATCGCACTGACCGAGAAACAGGTGATGAAAGGCACTGGGGGTTTGAAAAGCCCTTGGGATCGATTTTTGAAGTATGAAGACGCTTTTTTTGGGGGAAAAGCGCAAGAAGAATACATGGAATTTGATGCCGGTGAAGGAGGCGAAGAAGAAGGCGAAGATGATGACCATGATTATGGATGAAATTGGTTTCTAAAAATTATAGGCTATGTTAACTTACTTATGTGATTTGATGTTTTCATCGAAAAACTCAGGTATGATCGTGGTACCGGTTGTTCGTGTCGTACGTAGTAGATGAGCAAATGAAAAGAAAAACGGCTTTAAAGCAACTTGCTCTTGAACTCGGTTCCTTCCTGGTGATCTTTCAAAACAACTCTCTTCTAATTCCCAGAAGACGATGATGGAGCTGAGACCTGCACAGAGGACGACGAGAAGGAGACGACTGCAGCATCCGCCGATGGCGATGTCGCGATGTCCTCGTAAATGCGTTTTTTGATGTTTACTTGGGGCGCCTCGTTGATGTGGTTGAGGCCGCTTTCCCATGCATGTGATGTACCTAAATGTTTTTTTGAGAGGTTGGATCTAGTAGGAACTATTTTGTCATCCGTAGAGAACATGTAAACTTTTTTTAGATGAGAAGTTCTTGATTTGTAAAATAGAACACTTCTCCATGATTGCTGAGTGATGTTTAGAGAAGGCCTCCACGTCTCAAGTTCCTAAGTACAGGGCTTGTTAGACGCCTTCTCCATGTTTCTAATAGGATGGTCCACTGAAAGTGGTATGCTGATGTATATCGTGGCCATATTTGAGTTGTCTTCAGTACTTCGAAGATTTTAGGTTTAACGAGGGACTCATGATCAGTGCTCACCACGGGTTTCATGATTTACAACATATGAAGATTGCACAGACAAGAATCAAACAAATTTTACCTACACATTTGGCATTAGAATCTGAGTTGTTTATTGGTAGTTTTAGCTATCCTCAATTTGAGTGGTTTACAACAAGTTGGATGCGTCAATTTATACAGCCGAAGGCGAGACTATCATGGGAAAGTTTTCGCGCATGAGCATATCGTAGTTGAATGGTACAAAAACAGCGCATCACTACTAAGAAGCTTAGGGCTAGGGTTTAGGGTTTAGGCTTCTAAATGTCTTTCCTGAGTAGTAAAAATGAAATATTATGTAGATGTCTACTGGAAAGTTCAAGTTGTGATTACATGTGAGTCGTAATATTGTCGTTCGTAAATAAAGCAAGGCACTCTTGAAGACCGGTCGTCTAGGTCGTTGATCGTCTTGCGTCTACAAAAATTTTTTCCTTGAGTAAAACAAGTACTCGAAAACTGAAAATAACCGAGTTACTGACTGAAATAAGGGAGGCAGCTTTGACAGGGCTACTCTTCCTTGTTCAGTATCTCGCTTATTTTAAGTAGTTACTCGCTTATTTCAGTTTAGCGAATACAACTAAACTAGAAGACAGCGCCATTTGTCTTCAACACCGAGTGAGGGTTTCCGGATCGAAGAAGGTTTGTTTGTGGCGTCTAATATACTTCCCCCCATATCATGCTAGCAACTACAATAACTGCTAGTCTGAAGGATGGCGTCACCCGGTAGTCGTCGTGCTAATACAATGCAAGGCTATGATTCTGCGTTATAATAAGTCGGTAGTCGTCACAATATACGCAAAAACTTTCTATTGTTACTGCTATTGCTTCGTCCTATCCTATCCTATTACTAGTTTGCTCAAACAACAGTGGCGTCATCATGTTGGCCTGCTACGGTCTCAGAAAGATAGATACGTAGTAGCCTAGATAGACCTCTGTAGAAGTGCCTGGATAGATATCTAACATGGATCTTCTTACTCTCAGCATGACGTTGTGGAGAACCAAAATATATGGGACACACTGTGAGTAACGTCGTTCCCTCATATCGTCCACGGACGTAGAGGTGCGGCAGTAGCAGCTGCGGGGAGGCTTGTGCCCTGCGGAGGCGCCTTGATTGATTGACTGAGTTATCGTCTCTTCATGTGATATTTTTGAGGGTTCCCCTTTGTCCCCCCCAAGACGAACACGAAGAACATTTTAACGTGGCTACAACCGTCATCTACCTAGTGACGGTAAAAATATTATGAATGAGAATGATTTTTGTGCTGTATCATGAGGAGTAACTGAACTACATGTGAATGAAAAATTATCTACTTCTACCTGCCTCGAGGTGCTGGAGGCAGTCACGCTGCTCTTCTAGTACAACCACACGGTGCATGTATTACGGGACATTGAGAAGTGTTCAAAGAGCAAGGAAGTCGGTCTGTGAGAAAAAACGAGAGTCAAAATGGTTGTATTAAACGGAAAACAGAGAAAGTGTTCTCAAAGCACCGTGAGACACATAGTCTAGCCAAACCAAAGGAGCATGCGCAAAAGTGGAAAAAGACCGCTTTTTGTTACTGTTGCCAGGACCACAAAAACGAATTTACTTCATAGGACCCCTTATTCGTGCCCCTTTTTTACCCGCCCTATTCTTTTTTCCTGACAGAAAATCAAGTCTCAAAGGAAGGTCGCTTTCATCAAAGCCAAAATGAAAACTACGAGTGATGCAGCACTGAGTTAAAGATGCCTCGCTTGGCAGCTGGTGCTGATGTGTGAAGATTACACTTGTGCTTCTTCTAGAAGGTGTTTATAAGTACCTTAAAAAAAGATCTTCGAAGAAAATGGAGGCTTCAATCGAAGCCGAGTCGTCGGGTCATCTAAGCGAGGAGGCTTCCTGTCCGACTAGAGCGACATGGCCTCACGGCAACAGAAGGTGGTCTCGACTACATAGGCGGCGTCGACGGCGAAAGCGGCCGCCGGGGGATGCAGATAACACTGGTATTAAGGCTGCTGGAGCAGCAGGTGAGGACGACTTCGTCACTCTCTCCGACGATGGAGTGGAAGACAATGAAGAGGATGCTACTTGTGCGTTTTTCGGCGAGGATGACATTTTTAAGGGTTACCACATTGCATTCTACTTCACTACCATCCTTGACTTTTTTTCCAGTAGGAAAAGGGTCCGGGATGATCTGAACAAGAATGCAATGTCGCAAGAACCTCTAATGACAACGACGAGGTGGAAGAGCTAGAAGGACTAGAAGGACAAGGAGCACCCTTCGAGAGTAGAATAGGACAGCACAAGAGGTTGCTGTCGAAGATGTACTTCCTATCATCAGCGGTCGTTAATACTACAGATAGAACAAGTGCTAGGACCACGACGTCCTCGTCAGTCAAGCATCGTTGGCCTTCACGACTAAAGAAGAACATGTTGTGGGCTAGAGCTTCTGGTCACGGTTCTCTCTTCATCTTACTCTGGAGGTGGTCAATTTCCGTCTTTCTGACCATGATTTCTACGACAGTGGCCCAACGAGGAGATCTAGATCATCATCTAGAACTAGAACAGGAAAGATCTAGATCATCAGCTGAACAATTACAACCCGTTCCACGAGAAGTAGTAGAAGATGCAATAACAGGTTCCGCAAGTCGTTCCCTGCAAATTGGTGTAGAGAGTCCTAGCAATTCGTCCGCTCTCCCGCAGCCGCCTCTACTCGATGCGTGGCCGCCAAAGCCAGTGTTAAGGCTTAGACTTCTCTATATATAACTCATCTTGTGAGAGGTGGCATCCTTGGCGTGCTTTCAAGGAAGGACGAAAACTAGGCCAAAGATGCACGACCCCAAGAGGAATTTTTATAGCGGTAAGGACTAAGGTCTTCTAACAGTGCCAGCGGCCGCAGGTGTAAATCCGTGGCCAGCCACGCAGCCTTGGCTACTACAGGTGCCGAAATATTCCACCATTGAAATCGCATTCAACGATGACGCCTGTTGGGTAGTGTCTACGGTGTCGATCTTCAATGCGACGAGGAGAACTAGGGAATTGAGTGGATTTGAATTGGAGGATGGAGTTGGAGATGGAGTTGAAGTGGAGGATCAACAAAGTACAAGTAGGCATAATGTTCATGTTGTTGATCACGTTCATGTTGGCGCGAGGACTAAGAATGATAAGTGGAGGGGTAGAAGAACTGGCGCGAGGACTAAAAACAGCTACATCCCTGCAAAAACATCAGAGCAACTTGAGCAAGAGCAGATTGAGAAAGAGCTGAGACGCGTAATCGAGGATGCGGAGTTGAATGCGATTTTTCGTCGACTGCTAGAGGGCAGAGCTCCGGAAGATGAAGCAGGAGACAGGAACGGGGAAGGTAGTTCAGACGGTGGTCAACTAGATTCTCTGAGTCAGGAAGAGAGGGAAGCTCTGCTGCAGGATGAGGACTACAGGAGACGCGAGATGGACCCGTCTGTTCTTGAAGTGAGGATAGATCCTACCAGTGGCACATCGATTCTGCCGGAATTGCCGGCTGTGTTTGATGCTGGAGACGAGGATTCTAGAGGTAGTAGTGTCCATGGGGCCTTGTCTGAAGTGGATAGGAAGAATAGGGAACAGGAGCAGTTGCGGCCTCATCCAAACATCGCTCGTCTGAAGGAGAAAGGGGTATTGAAGCCCTTTTTAGGAGAGAGTGAGTTCGAACTGGCGCAGTCGCGGAGTGGCGGGAAATGCATCAATTTTCGAGAACCGGAGTGTGAAAAATACAAAGTTGATCTAGATCTAGATCATGAAGGAGGAGCACGTCCAGGAGATGAGCATGAGTCATCGTCCTTATTTACAGGAGATGACGCAACGACTACTTCTACTGCTACCTCTCTACTACAGAGCAACGAAAAAACAGTGCTACAACCAGGAGCCGCGATGACAAGTGCTTGGAGGCGTGGGAGGGCATATCTCACGTCCTCGCGGAATTTTCAAACAATACGGCATAGAAGTCCGGACTTTGCTGAAGGAGAAATGCTGAAAAGTTGGGAAGACCAAGACGAAGAAGAGGCGTCGAAGATGTCTGAAGAAGGTGGAGAGGAGCAGACGTCGAGTTCTAGAAGAACTCCTATTTCTGTGGCATCAACATCAGCTAATGCACCACTAGTATCTGCGTCAACAGAGGATGACACTTCTCCCGTTCCGAAACCACATCCATCTGCGTCAACAGATGATGACACTTCTCCCGTTCCGAAACCACATCCATCTGCGTCAACAGATGATGACACTTCTCCCGTTCCGAAACCACATCCATCTGCGTCAACAGACGATGACACTTCTCCCGTTCCCAAACCCTATCCCTTCAGCGTTGCTCTTCGGACTACAGCGAAGCCTTCCACTGTTACTAGAAAAGAACGTCCCTACCCTGGAATACTACGACAACTTCGGACAAAGACAGTAGAGGACCATGACGAGGCTAGCAGAAGTCCAAGACGGAGTCGGAGAGTGTTGAGTAGCAAAAATTATAGCGATGGGTCACTTGACATTGATGCAGGTCGTGTCTCCTCGCTTTCTGCCATTTCTGTCACGACTTCAACAAGACGACGCCACTTACAGGAAGACCTTTCTGCCACGACTTCAACAAGAGGACGGGACCTAGTACAGGACCCCCAGCGTCGTTCCTTAGCCGAAGCTTACCTCATTACGGCAGCTACTTCTCCAGGAGATGGACTTGCGCGATGTAAGTACCTCGCGTACCAGAAAGCCGCAGCTTCGATTACCTATGACTCTACTACGAAGATTTGCATCCTCTACCAGACGGTGGATGGCGGGATGCTGAACAATTTCTGTCAATGCGGAGGCTTCCTCGGATGGGAACCACAGTACGCGGAATACGTAGGGATTGAACGATTTAGTTGGCGCTTGGCGAGGGGGAAGAAGTTAGGTCGACGTATCTGTAGTTTTGTTGGTTTGCCTATTCGCTTGTTTTGTAGCACTGTTGATGTGTATTTCTTGTAGTTTGTGTATTTGTAGTTTGTGTAATTGTAGTTTGTGTATTTGTAGTTTTGTTAGTGCTGTCGGTTCCCCTGTAGTTCGCCGATTGATGTTGTCCTTTTAATGCTGTTGGTACCCCTGTAGTTCGCCGATTGATGTTGTCCTCGTAGGTGCCTTTACCACATCTTCTGTACTAGGACCACGAGACCCCGCTCCTCAGATCAAAAACAATAAAATTCTCTTTAGATCTATTCCTTCTTTTTTTTCATCGTCCATCTCTAATCTGCCTCGACGGCAGTTGTCTCCCCGAGCGTTGCGCACTCAAGGACATGGACCCAGGGAAACGGTGGAAATTCCGCATCCGCCTGCACTGCGAAACAGAAAATCCATTGGTCGCCTCCTGGAGCCCTTTGAGTGGGATCATTCGTTCCATGAACCTGCCGCCGGCAACTGGCGATGGCGGTTTCAGTTCCGCCTCTGTTGCAGGTGGGGCCAATGTTTTGGGCGATTTGAAGTTGTGTTAAGGCTCAACTTTCATTGCTCATGGGGGTTGCTCACTGAGATCGCAGAAGAACAGGGGATTGGTCCTTAGAGATCTAAGGGGAGGGGAAAACTACAAGGGGAAAACTACAAGGGGAGAGGCATGGGGCATTCTTTTTTCAGAATCAGTGACCAATGAATGTCGACCTTTAATTGTGGTTGCGGAGTGAGATGGGATTAGCGACTAAGATGGAAGAATGGGCAGCGGCGTTGCAGGCAGTGCAATACATCACACTTCCGGATGGAACAGAGTTGGCGCAACATAGTCTTATGAAGAAGAGGATGATGTACTAATAGTAAGAACCAAAGCAAGTTTAGACAACAACAAGGAATCCTCTCCATTCGCTAATCCCTCCTTCTTCCACGACGCTAATCCCTCCTTCTTCCACAACAACCTACTAATGATACTCTAGTACCTCTTCTACGATGATGTAGTAGTACTAACCACATCAAGTTTCATCAGTAACAAGCGTAGATCATCATCCATGTCTAAAAAAATTCAAAATTCCCTTTCTCTAACCCCTCCTTCTTCTACGACCTAGATTTCTCAAATCCCTCCTTTGGTTATGATCTAGAATCCCAAAATCCCCTTTCTCTAATTCCTCCTTTTTTTATGATCTAGAAGCCGTCCTCCGCGCACACGTTTTCCACTTGCGTGCTTACGCCTTAGAGCTCAGGGTCGAGGCTGCTGTGGTGGGAACGGGTTTGCCTGGTGGGTTAGACCTCCAGGACGTGATGACTTTGACTCAAGACGGCATCATGCAGCTCGTTGCCGGCGGAGACGAGCCGAATCTCAGTCATGGTTACATAGGCATGCGAGCCACCTTCGAAGTGTTTGGAGGGATCAACTTCATCGACGTGGCGCAGACAGAGTCCATGATTAGGAGTCATCTGCACAGTCTCATCTGGATGCGGGATGGCCTCACGCCCTTGGAAGTGGAGCTTTTAGTGCCTCAGTTGGAATTGGTGGCTCTCACAGCGACAACGACAGTGGACCCGACATTGAGGGAATCAATGCTGGACTTTCAGGGGGTAATTCGTTTTAGTGTTTGTGTTTTTGAATCAAAGGATGTACTAGTCTGCAACTTATATATAGATCGTTCCACCTACTTATATGCTTATAATCCTCCTCTTTGAATAAAACAAGTTTCATCCCCTCCATCCAACAACTCGATCTCAGGCCTTCGGCGCTTCTGCTTCAGGCTATACTACTGCCGCCGACGCTGTTGGCTACTTCCTATTCGCCTTGGGATCACTCCTCTACTTGCTTGCCGCGTTCTCGTATTACCAAGTGTTCATCGTCAATACGGTAATCGACCCGCAAACAGTGCTGCCATGGCAGTTCTGGCTCTGCTGCTGCAATCGAGTGCCCCATAACCACTACCTCTTGGCAAAGAACATGAGGAAAACGAGAGGATTTTGGTATAGTAGATATGCTTTGCGATTGTGCTGTTTGTTCATTTTCATGTCTTCTGTGAAACGCACTGATGTCTTCCGAGCCCAGACTTCTCGAGCCATGGCCCCTGCCTGTGGCATGCCAGAAATCTCTGAATCTTAATCTTAATCCCCTCGACCTTGCTATTGCTGATTCTAAGGCGCACCGCCGCGTCCTTGCATTTCCCTACGTATTCATTGATGCTTTCTAACTCCAGCGTCTTCACTATCCATCCTTGGTGTTCACTCCGCCCATCTTCACAATCCCTCGAGGTTCTACTGGCTCCGCTACCACTTGGCATGGCTCGCATGCCCAGTCATTGGACCAGCATTGCTACAAATGTGGTGGACCCTCCAGATTGACGCCTTTTCCGAAGAAGGTCTAATGCCTGCGCCAGACAGCAAATACAATTGTACCAGAAATAGATCGGATATAATGTTAATATACTAAGTAGCCTCCACAAGCTTCGCCCGGCTTCAAGTTAGTTTAGCACTTTCCTGCAATTTTTAAGAATTTATACAATTGTACTAGAAATTATAGATGACCATCATGATGATCTTCTTTGTCTTTCTTCGTTGTCGTGTTGTAGTTTCATCTGTTTTCCCTTATATTAGTAATGACGCGACCACGAGAACCCAGCACGAGAACCCTGCGGCATGATAATTGCTCTAAAGTACTTACTCTGGTTAGGCACATACATACATACAGATAGACAGACAGACAGACAGACATACATACTATCCCTTGTCCTTCCTCCCATCAGATCAAGGTATGGCCTTGCGGTGGGCAACGCTACTCCGCAGAAAACGGCTCAGACCAATCTTCAAGAAGGATGAAGCAGGAGTTGAGAGTGTAGAGTATCAGGTGCAGCCGCCTCCAAAACGGATAAAGGATATAGTTCCAGAAGCACCAGAATTGCCGCCAAGGGGCTCGTTGCTGCTACCATTTTACTTGCTGTTCGTTCTCAGGGTACTCTTTACTTCTAAGAGTTGCTTCTAGACAGTCGTGTAGTTGCTACACTGACTAAGAGTTGCTACACTCTTGCTACACTCTTGTTTTTTGCTTCTTTTCTTGAAATACTCGACCATCATGAAGTATTGTAAGACCACGAAGTCCTGCCTCTTCGTGGTCAGCATGCATGAAGACCCTTTTTCCGCTCTCTCACTTGAACTGAGTACTACACTGATCCCTTTCCAACTACAGCATCCTCTTCCTCACCGATCCCACGATCCCACTCCTACCTCCAGACTTACAAGTGGCGAGACTATCTACAGTGGGTGAAGCACTACATGGCGTTTGTCTTCTTTCTACCGTGGATCTGCGGAGAATACGACTACAGCCATCGTGTCAATCGGATGTGTATTGTTTACACTATGTTTGATCTCACGACTACAGCCATCGTGGCAATCGGATGTGTATTGTTTACACTAAATGTTTGATCTCACGACTACAGCCATCGCGTCAATCGGATGTGTATTGTTTACACTAAATGTTTGATCTCATGACTACAGCCATCGCGTCAATCGGATGTGTATGGTCGTTTACATCACTTGGAATTCTTCAGTGGATGGCCTTTCTTTGTGACACACAGCGCAAGCATCCACTGGGTTTCCGGAAACCTCAAACTCTGTCTCCTTTTTCGTACCATTGAGATGATACTTGTACTTACCCCACATCCAACTCCAAGTCAAAACTCACTTCCCTCCTCCTCCCCCCTCAACACCAGCCGTCGTCGTGAAGTCCGACCAGCAGAAGAAAGAAATGGAAAAAGAGGCTGCTCGCAAGGTGGTGCAAGAGGATACTAAGAAGCTTGCTGCAACTATGTTTCTAGAGTCTGCAATGATGCATGGCGGCGGCAGCAAAAGCAATAAGATAGCCCCATTAGCCATTGAAGGAGGACCTGGCGCGATTGAGGATCAGTACTCAGACAGAGGAGCGGGAGGGGTTTTAGGTACTTACTTCCTTACTACTTCGTATTTGCTTATGGATTTTGATTTGATCTCATGGACTTAGCTTTGGATAGATTAGTATTTGGATAGAAGACCACGACGCACATGGGTTTGTTCTGTGCTGTGATAATCGTGTATGAATCGTTCATCAGGATTTAAATTGAAGCAAAAGTAGATAAAGTCAAAATTTTGGGTTTCAGCATTCTCAGATGATTGAAATTTTAGTTCAAATGATGTGGATTGATTGCTCTGAAGATCTCACAATTGGATTTCAATTTGATTGAATGTGGATATAACTGAAATTTCGTGGATCCAACACTTGAAACTCAAAATTCAATTCCGAAAATTCAACAGAACATTTTTTCAACTCTCTCAAGAGAAATCAATAACCACAACCAAGAATCATCTCCTTCCTACCAGCTATTCCCGACGACGTACGATCGTTTGCTAGTACGGCCAAGACCAGCTCCTTGTCCGCGGAGGACCTTGCTATCATACGAAAGGCCAAGAACGCCCAGTTTGGTCGTCGCTGGCTCCTCTTCGCGGACCCAAAAACCAAGCGGCTCTACTGGCACAATCGCGACACGAAAGTGCAGGTGAAAGTCGATGCCAAGTATACGAAGAACCTAAGACTCATGGCCCCATGGGAACTCGAGCATCTGAGAGAGCAAGAAGACGCAGCAAGGCTTCGCGCAGAGCGAGAGGAAGAGGAAGAGGACGACGATGATTTGGATGACTATGGCTTTGGTTGTTGAAAATGTTGAAATGTTTAAAAGATGGAGTTGTAAAAATAAATGATAGATTAATATATGACGAGATGGTCAGCATTCTCATCATCATGCTAGTCGTATATCTACTTATGCAATGCCAATAGTATGCTAGTCTCATATCCACTTATGCAATGCGAAGAATAGTATCGAGTGGTTTACTCTGTTTCTACTCCTTGTGATGAAACTCCACAACCCCGTTCTAAGAATCCTCGGTCTCAGGCGGCGGCCTAGGCGGAGACGATGATGAGGAGGACGGAGGGCAGCCACCGACGTTCATGACGGAAGAAGGCATGCATAACTTGGTTTTCCCAGAAGACGAGGATGTTGAGGAGGAAGAGATACAAGAAGGCGGCAACAGCTCTTCTTCATCTTCGAGGAGTAGACGTCCTGACAGGAGAGCAGGCCTCACGAGCAACGACTCTTCTTCATCTTCGAGGAGTAGACGTCCTGACGGAGGAGCATCTACATCAGATGTTTTGCTGGCATCAGATGTTTTGCTGGGTCCACCACCTCAACAAATGATGTAAAGGAAAGTGGAGGTGGTAAACCAAATGGTGGAAGATGTTGTGCTTTAGCTACACTAGTTGCTCTTAATATTACTCGAACCCTAGGTAGTTTGACTGATAAGTGAACAGGCCAACGCCTAAACCACTTATCAGCTCTTGCTCGAAACTACTGATCTTCTAGTTGTCAGAAGATGGACGAAGTTTGCTGTAAAAATCGAGTTTACTGAGACGACATTGTTCCGATGCTAAAAGAACGATACTTTTGAAAACTTGTTGATTATCGAGATGATTCCTTGTACTCACGAAAAGTGCTAAGTACTCTTGAATTCTTGAACTTGACCTTGAACGAGTGTTGCATGAAGATGGTACTTACAACAACTTTTGATAGAAAGTTTTTGACCTTTGATTTTGATAGAAAGTTCACCTTTGTTGATAGAAAATTGTGCAGCTCTTTAGCCAGGGCACCCACCCTGACTACGATAAAGTTAGCTCTCCCCAGTATCCTCCAATGACCAAACTGATGTGGCATGCTGTGCTTGCCTGGCTGGCGTGAAGATTTGCAGTTGTTGTGGTGTTCGAATAGCAACATGTGGCGTCTACTCTGAGCGAGTAAATCCAATCATGAATCCTCCGAGAGCCAGGCGTTTCATCCCGTTGAAACTCCATTGGTCGTGCCTGCTGGAGAAGTTTAAGTAGTTGAAGAAACAGTCCACGAAAATATTATTTGAAAGGAGAGAAGAAAGCTTGTTCATTCTTGAAAAAACAAAAAAATTGCAAGGAAACACAGCTTCTTCGTAATCATTTTAAAGCAACTGAATAGAAAACGCACAAGAACATGCAGCAGGCTCGCCTCGCCTCACCACGCGGGTCTCTGATCGGTCGGAACTTACCGAGAGCACCGGGGAGACGTAAGAAGAGCCATGACGAAACGAATGCGATTAGAGCAGAGAAGACGTCCGATTCCGAGCTAGGCCTAGATGTCGAGCTGTTCAGCGATACGACATCGCGACAGGAGGAGACGGCCAGGAGCATGCAACGTCGGGCAGTAGAGGGAAGTAGAATCGCACGGGCAATGGAGAATGCTCGTGCCGAAGCAGCCAGTGTCTATTCCGGTGACGGAACTGCGGAGTCGTCTCCTGTCGTACCCGCAGCTCTTGTACCCGAAGATGGGGATGACGTCGTCGAGGAAGAGCTATTGTCATCAACGTCAGGCTTCGGAGCAGGCGGCATAGAAGGTGATCACGGCGCTTCAAGTATAGGTCGTGAACAAGAGGAAACTATAGGTCGTGAATCCGATGAAGCAGCGTCAGCTGTGCTAGATGAAATCCGAGCGATGCGAGAAGAGTTGATGGAGTTACAACAAGGTCCAGCAACTACGGGAGATAGTCTGGCAGCGACTGTATTGGTAAGAACAGGATCGTGCAAAATTTAAGTTTCACTCAGTACGACCGATTTAGTTCATATTCTTGAGTATCTTCTAGTATAACTACGAATCATCCTGCTCGAACAACCGGTTAGCTTTCCCTCTATCTCGTAGATGTATCCCTACTTCCAAGAAAATAACGAATCATGAAGATCCTCTCATCATCATAAATCACAGGACGGAACACTTCTACCCGATTCTGGCGCTTTGGACGCAACAAGATTACCTAGTCAAGACCTACAACAGTACAACCAGCCACCCGGCAGACGATCTACAACGCGAACGTCAACATCATCTAGCAATAAAATGGTAAAGCAGTCAAGTTGGGATCCAGATGATGTTGCTGTAGTCACAAGCTTTCTAGAACGAAGTCCACCACCAAATAAGGTGCAAGGAGCTACTAATATCCCACCGAATGTCCGCGTCCCACCATCAAATAAGGTGCAAGGAGGTACTAATATCCCACCGAATGCTAGGAGGACATCAAATAAAGCTGGTTTTGGTGGAGGCGGTGGAGGAGGAGGAACGGTGAAGAAGAGAGGGATTCTGAAAAACAGGACAGGCGTTCAAAATGCAGGTGCAGCGACAACATCTCCGCGAGGGAGTCCTAGTAGTGCATGCGAGGGCATGGCGGGGGCGTCTTCTTCATCCTCTGCAATGATGAGTAAGGATTAAGGCTCAACTTTCAATGGTCAACATTGGGGTTGGTCACTGAGATCGAAGAGGCGACCCCTTGAAAGAACAGGGGAAAACGAAGGGAAAGAAGGGGGTCCCTTCCGTTCAGAGTCAGTGACCACTGAGTGCTGAGCTTTAAAAGGAGCAACTACAACGAGAACAGTTGCGCCACCAGATGGACACTGCTTCATCCTCGACGATGAGGAGGAGTCGATCTCTAGGTGGATACGGAGGTAGGGGTCGCGGAGCACTTGGCCCCAAGCCCGCTTTGCTTGAAACGACGTCAACAATTATAAGAACACTTAGTCCTCCTCGCGGTCTGTTTCTCATGCCACCACAGAAACTACAACTAAAGAGTTCAAGTTCTACGGTGGCACACGGACACCAGGAGACACCACTTGCACTTGAAGAACAAGCATCTCAATGTCTGTATCCACCAGCAATAGCCTTCCAACAACGCAACGCGAGTAATGCATCTACAGCAGCGCCTCCACCGGAAGCATCACCTGTAGAAACTGCGATGGACACCGCGATGGACAGTCCTCTGGAACAACAACAGTTCTATTTGCAGCAAATACAGCAAACGAATGCGGAGCTCAGCGTTGAAGTGGGAGGTGGAGAAGTAGGTCCACGAGGAAGACTAGGACAGCGCGTCCAGCTTTTTCCCCCACCCACGTTGCTGTCTACTACGACATCAGGTGGCTTCCGGTCTGGCGGCAGTTCAGTCAACTTGAGCCGTGTCAACTCATGGGTACCGTATCAACATCAGCAACATCAGCACGCGAGCATGTCCTCGGCTCAACAGCAACATCATCAAAATCAGATGCAACTGCAGCAGTATGAAAATCAACTGAGGGGACAAAAGCAGGTGTCTCACACTAAGAAAGTAGACTCACAACTACCACCTCCGTGCATGGGAAGCCCCACCAGAAGTCTAGATCTTGCCTTGAAACTACTGAAGAATAAGAAATTCTTGAATACTCATGCTCATCTTCCAGAGGACAACTACCGAGGAAAAGATGAAGATCCGCTACAGCAGAGTCAGAAGAGCGACTGCTTTCTGCAAGAGTTAGCGGATATTAAGGCTTGAAGAGAAGATCCATCTTCGGAAGCATCTTGAAGAGGCCTTTAAAGGGGAATAAAGGCATCTAGGATGCATCTCGAGATGGATTAGAGTGAGCTCTAATGACAAGCTGACCGAATTGGAGAAACGAAACCTGATTCTTCAGAAAAGCCAACAAGCGACTTTGATTGAGCTCCAGAGTGCGACGATTATGCAAATGAAATCATCGTTGGAGGAATCCAGTTCGCGAATTGGAACTACGTCCTCTCATGGTGCCTTGGATGGAGAAGCGGCACACAATTAAGGCTCCTTCCACAAATTCATCTTAAGGGGCATCGACCTTTGACGCACTTTTAAGGGGGAAAGCGCTCAAACACAAATGCCTCAAAGATGCACTTGTTTAAGATGAATATACTAGGTCTAGGGAAGTGCAGCTCCAAGGTCTAACACAACCAAAAAAACGAGGTTGGAAAAGCAAAGACGATCATATCGTCTCCTGCTCTGAGAAAGGGAGCTGACGAGCACGATGCTCTCACACCAGGTCGAGGAGCCTCAACAAACTCTTCATTTCTTGCAAACAAGACATCAGAGGAGAAACAGCTTGCGACGAAAAAGGGCGTGCGTAGACGGACTGCTCCACCAGGGATGATCGATCGACCAGGGATGATCGATCGGAAGGATTTTGAACAGACGAGGAAGAAGATGCAGACTTCCCTCCAACAGCAGGAGCTGCCTACTTCTCACGCTCCGAGTCCTCAGAAAAACCAAGCAGGAGGAGTCGTTCATCAAGTAGTAGTTGAGCGTCAATCTGCTGTCGTCAATATCGAGCCATCAACCACTACTAGAAATGCAGTTGCAGCAGGTGCTTCTCCCTCTAGATGTCTTTCCACAGCCACTTCGCGGCGTAGCTCAGGTGCAGGAGCAGCCATTTTAGTAGGACCATTTGCCTCATCAGCTTCAGCTTGTTCAACGCTTGTCGGAGGTGCGACCTCCGGAATTTCCTTGAGTCCACCATCAGCACGCAACCAAGCCAAGAAGAAAGTGGTCAATCATGCTTCTCCTGGTCGACGAAGTCCAACCCTCAATACCAAGCAAGAGCAACTACATCAGGATTTTGTCCCTCTCTCAGAAAGAGGAAGTGGAACAAGTAGAGGAACAAGTAGAACGGTGTTTCAACCAGCTTCTGCTAGAAGTAGCCCGTCACGACCAGGACTGCTGCCTCCAGGTGACGAGGAGGGTGGTTTAGCTTCGTCCTCGCTCTTTTACAGCACTTCAACAGCAGCTTTTAGCAAGAGTCCGATTCCAAAAAAACATGGTCAGGGAAGTGGGGTCGATGAGGAAGTGGCGAATCCAACAGAGGAGGGTAGTCTTCCAACGCAGACGGGCGGCGGGGGAGCGACGCAGCTCATGGTATCTACGTGTAGAAGTGTTGAGACTTCTATTCAGCTTACTGACATTATAATGCACACACACACACGACACATCACAACTCTACTACCTTCAGGTCCGGCAAAAAAGCGCTCTCGAAAAACCCGAGGATTTGAAGAACGTGGTCGACAAAATTGAGGCACTTGTTTCGCGCTTACAGCTGAAGTCCTCTCCGACTATGAAGTCCTCTGGTGCTTCTCCGATGCTGACGAGGGACACGGTGACTAAGCCTTCTTTTGAAGCACAGGCAGGTCGAAACGCTGGTCGTACAAAAATAACTGCTTCACCTGGCTCTTTCGAAGATCAAGTGGCTACACGTATTCCTGTACCAGTGGCCGCGCCATCACCAGTGACGACAGCGGTTTTTGCTCAAGAAGCAGTAGATTGTTCAGCAGGAGCTCTAAAGAGTCCACGTGTCCTCGACTCCAAATTAGTCGAACCAAGTAGGAGGGACTATCATCATCCTAGACGGACTAGTTCAAGGTTCTCTCTGGGGAAGCGGAGAGAAGATGAGGTTCCAGCACCTGAAGATGTTGGAGCAGGTGGACGATCATCAGTAGAGCAACAAGACTACAACAGTAGCAGAGAAGAGCCAGGACGAGCACTATTAGGACAACATGAGCATCATGGAGAAGAAGAGCAGCTGCTCCTAGAAGACCAAAGCTACGACCAGCCGTCCTTCTCCATCCTAGGTAAAAGCACAGCAGGTAGTACAACTTCGAGACATCAACAGCTTTTGTCAGAGGATATAGTCAGGACAGCACGTGATGAGATGCGCTGTGACGTGGACTTGGCGACGTTGATGGGCAGACCCAAAACTCCCGGCGAGTCGTCAGTTCTCGAAAAGCCTCTTACGTTTCTCACTCCGAACCAAAACGGTCTAGACTTGGAAAACATCTGTCGCGATGCAGCACTGCTGAAAACGCCTATGGGGTCGAGGACCACACCGGAAGACAGTAAAGCGTTTGTAGATGCAAAGTTGGAGGAAAGTGCGCAGAGATTGAAAGTTCCTAGTCGGGCTGTGAGCTGCCCAAGATTGCGGTCACCTGCCGAAATGTGGGCTAACGCTGAGAAAAGAGCTAGGGCAGCCGTCATAAGCGAAGCAAAGGAGCGGATCCGCATGAGGGAAGAGCTTTTCGCGAGATTTCAACCACCTCCAGGAGTCCACGTAGAAGTGGTCCCTTCTGCGTGTACTACAACAATCGTACCGACGAGTAGACAAGCGTCGCCGATGTTGCAAAAAGATGCGAGTAGTTGTACTAGTTGTAGAGGGGGATCTCCAGCACTAAGTAGAATTGCGGCGTCTAGTTCCTGTGGTACTAGTTCAAGGCCGCTTTTGACAAGGCAACTGTTGTCCTCTGGCACAAAACATCACCAGTTTTCTCAAAACTCTCTTGCTCCCTCAGCCTCACCACCGCAACGACTACGCGGATCGAATTCAACATCGAATTCAACTGTGCGTTTGCCTCCTTCACCGGCGCCAATGGTACTCGTGGAGTCACAGTTTACCACTACTGCTGCTGCCACCCAAACTCCAGCTCGAGCAGTCTCAACGCACCGTTGCTCCAAACCCACTCGCGTAGAACCAATGAAGAAGCTAAAAGTCAAGGTTTGGCAACCAGAACGTTCTCCGACTACGTCAGCTGCAAGTTCTCCTCAGTCACCAAAAGGAGCAGCAAGTAGTGCGAGGAAGATCTTACCATCACCTTCGATCTTGAGCACATCACCAAAACTACCGAATCGAGGAGGAGGGCCGCTTGATGCATTCAGCATGCCCACAGGAGCGGCGGCCCCTCCAGTTGTGCCAACTGCTTCCTCAATATCTTCAAATTTAGATGTTCACGTTGTGCCACCACCTCCAAGAACGGCAAATGCTCTGTTAGAATACACCAAAGCTCCAGGTGGTTCTATTTCTGGGAGCTATCCATCTAGTACAGAACCACCAATCGTAGTATTTGCTACTGGGACTGGGGGGGATGTTCATATTAGTGCTGCTGCAGACGGTATTATTTCTGGCACACGGAGTGCCCCTGCAGCTTCTGAAATGATCAGAGGTGAAGGTGGTGCTCTCGGTGAAAATCGCACTACAGGTCTTCATGGCGATCAGCAGATGCTAGGAACAAGCAGCAACTCTCTTCTAGGAGGAGGAGCACACACGAGTGAAGGAGAAGGCGCTAGTAAGAAGAGAAAACCACAAACCTTACCACGCTCTCGATTTGCACCAAGTCCTTTTTCGCCGCCGCGCAGAAGATAGAAGATTTTGATTTTCATTTTGTCTATTACCTACAGAAGATGCTGTCAGTTTTTTCAGAATTATTCTAAACAAACCAACAATTGAAATCGTCAATTTTATTGTGATTCTTGTCTTTTTCAACAAAGAAACAGCCAAACTACATTTCAAGCTTAGACTTCATTCCCATTTACAACTAATAGTAAGTATATGTTCTTACTCATTGAATCCGCCAAAAGTTGCTACTTACATTACAATACTCAGACAGCGCATGAGAAGGACCACTGGACATCTCCAGACAAGAATTGGGACACAAAGTTGTTGGACCCTTGTTTGTAGTTGAGGGAAAAAAGCTTTTGTGTTTCTCGATTACGTCATGCCGTGATGAGCTGTGCGAGTGCGAGACGAAAAACGTCAAGAAGGATCTTTTCTAGAAGTTAGGTCGGCTCCGCCAGCACAGACATAGTAGAGCAGGTAGACGCATTCTGAATCTGATTCGCAAAAGCATGGCGCAGCTTCTTGTCCGGAGGTCAGCTCAGACGGCGGTGAAGCGACCACCACTCTCCGCTCTAAAGCAGCACAAGAAAGCGAATTTCCTCGCAGCTGACCAGGCACATCTGAATGGGAAAATAAAAGTTCCAAGCACGACCGTGGCCACAAGTAGAGGGACTCGAACATCAACTCCTTTTGTTTCAACGAGATCAATGGAATCATGGACTGACACCACTGCGGCTGCTGCTGCCTGGTCCTTTAGCAGTGGGAGCACATCACCGTCATCTAGTTCCACCGGCAGTGCGTCACCACCGGCTCCTGACAGTGACATCTCGGCTACAGCGACCACCGTTGATGAAGATGAAGAAAACCAATCCGAGAACATGAAGAACGGGACAAATAAAGGTCTCTCTCTCCAAGCAAAAGAAGACACTCTTAAGCTCCTACACGCCGCTAAGCTGGGCTTAAACGCTGCGGCTTGGTACAAAGGCTCCTTGAAACAGCGTAGCCACAAGACCATGCTGTCAAATGCCGAGTTGAAAATCGGCTATAGCTTTCCGAAGATGCCGTGGAATCAGGGAGAAGAAATTCTAAAACGCATCTTCCGCGGCTTAAGGAGAAAACGGGGTTCCTCGACGCATCCTTGCCTGGCCACATGGGGTGATCATTTGAACAGCATACGCAGATGGCCAAATGAATATTTGAAATTTATGGAAAGAGCCTAGACGAAGTCTTTCTGGTGTCGTGAACTACATGTTGGAGTTGGAGTGGACACAAATTATATAGATCATGCTACTGATGAAGATTTGACTATTGAGCTAGCCCCATTGCGAATAAACCAGTGCACACAACCATCGAGCAGCTGAGCACTCACTGGAGGCGTTGCGCAGGGCTTCGGCCTGCCTTCGAAGGTGAGACCTCTGGGGCTGACAGGACCACGACAGCGCCGGCGCTTAGTTAGTAGCTGTAGACAATTACTTGCCTGGCCTTTCTTTTTTCGGTCTTTGTTTTTTCTAGTTAGGCCTGCTCCACCAACATAATTATTGAGCTACTAGCCGGTAGCTCTTTCTCTTCCTCTAACAACCACGGCCGCGTCGAAGCCGCACGACATCTCCAGGCAGAAGGCGTAGCGATTGAGAGGGACCTGAAGGGGCAGATGCAGGCACTGGAACAGGCACAACAATCTTATGGAAAACATAGAAGTCGTTGTCATTCATTAGTTCATACCGTTCTCACTACTACAAGCTAATAATCAATTGTGATTGTTTATGCATTTTTATCAATCTTGTTTCATATGATTCTAATTAGTTTTCAATATTATTATTGGCAGATTAGACAGGATACCAGAAGCATTAGCGCGCTGAGCGTACGTGGATGCAAAAATCAGGCAGAATCGTGCTCCACATGATATCCGTCTAAGATCTATAGCACCTTTTCCGAACAAAAATTACAATCGAGGCCCTTGGTCTAAAACTGACTTGCATATTCTACCAGTGGTCTTATTTATTATACATTCACTTCCTAGAAGAAGTCGATTAGCTTTAGTTGCACACTCGCTTTAGTTGCACACTCCACACTTGAAGTTGAATCATCTTCTTCTATCTCTAACCTGTTCAAGCAGCAGGAATGGAGCATGGAGCGGGAAAGGGAGCAGCTGCCTGGTTACCCGAACAAGGAGGCAAGCCCGAGGGCTATCTGAAGCTTCTTGAACATTTTCAGGTGTTCGGTGACGCTCAAAACTTGCCAGACTTCCGCGTCTCCAGGAATAAGCCGACCATGCTAGATGCAGGGAAGGTCAGGAGTTGGCATTTAGTAGGAAAGAGCAGACAATCGGAAGAGCACCAGATGCACGATAGTAGAGGTGGCTATGGTAGAAGTGGCTACGGACCTCCTGGGCTTAATACGTTTAGACCTGGCGGCTTTTATCTTAAGCATTGGATTTGGAAGTTGACATCTCTACGCGCATCTTTATGGCTTCTTCAAGTAGTAGGAAAGCCATAGAAGATAGGCGAGCTAGAGACGGCAACCTTAAACCCCTAATTATCAGAGCAATTATAGTCGATCACTTGGCAGTAATGATAGAAGTCAAGGACCGAACTTTTATCACAATGTTGAAGAGAGGTCGTTTTGTCGTGGATTCCACGACAGAGGTCACGGAAGTAGTGCTTTTGGTGGAGGTGGAAACAACGGAGAACGAAGATCGTATTAATAAATGCTATGCGAAGACGAGTAAAAGGAGTAATGAAAGATAGAATGGGGAGCACAACTTATTTTGTGCGTCGCTCCACCTTTCCACAATTCTCTTGCCCATCTGCTCTTGAAAATGTTGTCGTGTTGTACTTCATCAATTAGGCCGAACGGTCGCGATGCAGCAGGGATTGATGTTCGAGACTTTTTCAAAAGGATTTTCAGCGTTCTCCTCAGACAACGATTGCAACAGGACAGGAAGATTGATAATCTGTGAAGCATGATCGGTGACCTTGACCTAGTAACAAACTAGCAGTCGTCGCGTATTTCGCAATTGATGGCCTGCAAAATAAATGAAAACGTACGTGTACTAGACGCTGAAAAAATATTTGATGCGTTCTTAACTACAAAACCGAGCGAAAAAATATATTAAACAAGATGCGGAACTTCTCCATCCCCACTCCTCTCGTGCTCTCCTCATCAAGGAGATGTTTGTCAATATGTGCTGCCAGTGCAGGTCTTGGTACAAGTTTGTCATCTTCCAGTTGCACCACGATGCGAAGTGGCAGCGCAGGTCTTGGTACAAGTTCGTCATCTTCCAGTACGATGCGAAGAAAGTTCGGAACCGGTGCTGGTGGCGGTGCGACGCGCCCCACTAGTCCAGAAATGTGGCTGCAGAGGCAGATGAAGGATAGATGGGTCCGAAGAGCGCAAAACGAGAACTACAGGACGAGGGCGGCATTTAATTATGGCAACAAGGGTTTTTTTTTGTAATACACCAACTACAGATGAAGTTCTGATAGATGTGCCTTTCTTCGGAAGTGAAGCACGGTATTAAATAGTCCCATCGACAGTTTCGGAATACTGATCAGGGCGAAACTCCATTCCATTCTGATAGATGGCGCGACGAGTACTTACCCCTTTCAATCGAAGCAGGGACTTGCTGCGCCAACAGATGAAGTTCTGATAGATGGATTTGCACCAACAGAAGTATAAGTTCTTGTGATAGATCATCTAATATCCGAAAATTCACATCTTCTTCACAGTATCGTTTCTAGACTCAAAAAATGCCACAGCTTCTTTCAATCGAAGCACCAACCACGAGTACTTACCCAATATCTTCTAGTCCCAGCTGAAGCAAAAGCAAATGATGAAAACACCAACCACAAGTACTTACCCAATATTATCGACTTCTAATCTGAGCTGAAGCAAATGGATTCGAAATTTGGCATTTTTAAACGTGGTCAGATAGTTCTAGACTTGGGCTGCTATTCCGGAGGCTGGTCTCAGGTGGCCATCGAGCGCACAGTTGGAGAGGAGGAGCGTTCAGATGCAAGATTCGCTTCTGGAGATTCGGTGGAAGCTAGCACGAGGAGCAAGGTGATTGGCGTAGACTTATTGAACATAGACCCCTTAGACGATCACACTTTTATCAAAGGAGACGTGCGAGACTCTGCAGTGCTGGAGAAAGTGATGTTATGTTCTTCGGCCGCAGTAGTACAACTTTACTGTGCTCTTACAACTCAAGTTGAAGATCTACTTATAGTACTCAAGTTGAAGATTTACAACTACTACTACTCAAAGAAGATGCCACTACTCAATTCGAACGCTCAAGGATCCGGAGGATAGCCGTTCGGTCTACTCTCTGATTTGATGATCACAAAGCATAGTAAACTACTAGAGTGATCATTTATATCTTGTTTTAGCGATAGCAGTTACTGCTGTAGTAAGTTCTGAGTTCTAGGCTCAGAAAGATTTTGTTCGTTTGAGAAGAAATTGAGTCCTTTCTTGGTCCTCCACGGTCCACCTCATTATCTTGTTCTCTCCATCAAACTTTCTGAGGACCACGAGAACAATCCTCTTCTCTAACTACTCTAGTAAAAATCTTCTTCTAATCTCTGAAGCAACCGGCGGCCTCAAGTGTGACGTCGTTATGTCAGACATGTGCCCATCACTATGTGGTAGCAAGCAAGATGACCATTTGGAGTCGATGGAGCTGGCTTTGGCAGCCGCTGAATTTGCAGAACGAGTTCTGATAGCGCAGAATTCTTCCAACTGCCTATCTGCGGATAAGGTCCCTTCGAATAGTTGTAAGGGAGAGGAAAATGAGGATACAACTGGTATTAAGGCTCAACTTTCAATGGTCATTGGGGTTGGTCACTGAGATCGAAGAGGCGACCCCTTGAGAGAACAGGGGAAAACGAAGGGAAAGGGGAGAGCTTTGAAGGGGGTCGCTTCCGTTCAGCATCATGATGACCATTAAGTGCTGAGCTTTAATGGTAGTGTCGATGGTTCTGGTGGTGGATTACGAGTCGCCTCTTCTGGCGAAGAAGGTGAAGGTGATGGCCAGGATGCAGAAAGTACAACAACTTCAACTTATTCTAAGACCTCTGCCTGTCCTACCCCTGAGCACCGTCGCGGAGGTTGGTTCATCTGCAAAATTCTCTATGGACCGGAAGCGAGTCGGTTCAAGCTGTACCTGAAGACGCGGTTTGCTCGGGTACTCTCTTTCAAACCCCATGCTAGCAGAGACGAAAGTAGGGAGATGTACATAGTCTGTAGTGGTTTTTTCGGAAGGGCTAAGATTCATGAGGAAGTTCAGACGGTTCCTGGTTACATGCCGGATAAAGAGAAGTATCATAATATGTACTAGGGTTCGAGTCTTCATGATCTAATGAAGAAATTATAGAAGAGATGATGCTCTTGGACAACACTATGTTGAAGGCAGCATCGACGCAGGAGCAGCATTTTCTATGAGAACTTACAACATCTAGTGAAAAATATGTAGTAGTGCAAACGCTTACTGGGGATGAAAAGAGCTAGAGAGCCGCAAGGCGACCACCGTCATGACAGCATGTGTTCCACCGGAAACTTGTATTACCCTAGAAGATCCTGAATATGTCCACGACCTTAACACATGCTGCAGATAAGCCTCTTGATCTACCTGGATAACACGAGTGTTCCTGCAGATTATACCTTTTTGTACTCTTGCAGCACTTTTCGAGCATTTTTCAATTTTTTTTGGCGTCTCGCGGCTGAGCTAAGTACGTCGTCTGGCTGAGTTTCGACTGGACTCTGTGTGCAAAAGCGGTGTTTGGTTTTTGATTCTGTAGCAACGAAAAGATGGGGAAGCCTGCGGCGCAAGATGCCTTAACCCGGTCAACCTCAACCCGGTCAACGGTTGCAATTTTCTACTCCGTCGGCTTCGTCAGCCTATGCGCACTTTTCTATCTTTTCCGCAGCGTGTTACCACCTCTCTCTTCCGCAAAAGGTTGCGAAGCTATTGTGGAAGAGGGTTTTGTCCGATTTCTAGTAGCCTCCAAGATTCCGGAAGGACGCGAGATGGCTGCCTACAAATGCGCAGTGGAGTACAAGGCACAGCATGAAGCCTACATCTATCTGGCTTACTGCACGTTGTACGTGACCATGATGGCGTTTGTGATTCCAGGAACTGTGGTCCTCACGTTTTTAGCGGGAGCGTTGTTTTCGTTTTTGAAGGCGCAGGTGTTGCTATGGACGAATTTGATCAATTCTGGGATAGGAAGGGTTAGTGGGTATTTGATGGCTTATTCTTGACTTCATCATCTAGCACAGAATGGAGTAGCGGCTGCGTCTGCAGCAAACAACTCAATATGTCTTGGATCGTTGTAGCTATCTCGGATGATAGACGAAATACAAATATTGTCGTCGCGTCTTTTTATCAGAAGATTCTTCATTTACTCATAAATATCTTCCTCTCGAATTATCTGAGAGAAGATAAAGTACAACATCAAGTTTTTAGTCTAAGCTCCTCGTCTCGAATCTGAGAGATCAAGGGATTACAACAAGTTTCTAAGTAGTAAAAAGAAGGTCCTTTTCTAATCCAAGTAGCTTCCTGCGCAACCGTCGGTGCGACAGCCGGTTTCCTGATTTCCAAGTACATCGGATCCGCTTTTCTGAATTTTTTCAATCTAGACGTCACGCCGATACGGAACAAACTCTATGGAGAGCAAAGTGGAGAGCAAAAAGTTGAGAACAAGAACAAGTCAGGTGGAAGTATTTCTTCACCAAGGTTGAAGAAGAGCTCTACTTTGTCAATGGCAAGTAGGAGAAAAAGCAGGAATAAGAGTGTAGTTGGATCACGAGGAAGTTCATCTTCTTCAGTGGCCGCGAAGAAGAGCCCGAAGAGCGCTGTTCTTGAGCCGACTGCGACACCCACATCTTCAAAGAGGACTTCAACTTCCAGGAGTACCCCGAGCTGCAGTGGCCCTCCATCTTGGTTCAAATTAAGGCTGTATTTTAGTACATTTTTGGACGTATCAATCCTTGAAACTGTATTTTAGTACATCTTGTTTGGACGTGGTATCAATCCTTGCAATAACGTATGGAGGAGTATCCACCTAAGGGAATAATTCTCTCCTCCATACTTATTCTCAAGGATGCTGCACTTGAAAGATGAACTATCTGAAAAGCTCTAATCAAAGTGACCACGACCATGACGCTGCTGCGAGTGACACCATTCCCGAGTCTTCTGATTAATGTCGGAGCCCCGCACGTCGGAGTCCCAGTCTCGGTTTTTTTTGTCAGCACGTTATTTGGCTTACTGCCACTCAATACGATTCAGATTCTCAGTGGACGCGCCTTAGCTCAAGCAGGGGAGCTGGATAAGGGCCCGATCGCAGCACTGATGTGCTGCGGGTCTGTGATATTTGCTCTTTTTTACTACTTCTCGAAGGAGAAGAAGAGCAGTGCTGGGGCACTTGCTGAAGATGAGAAAGGGGATGGTGGGCAGAAGGGAAGTTCAAAAATGAAGAGGTGGAGCTAATTTTTAGGGTCATCGAGATGTTGATGATTTCAGTTGCTGGCAGTTCAAACGGCAATTTGTAACCAAGATGTGGCGCAACGAAAAGAATGCTGGAATAAGAATTAGAAAGCGCACGCTGCAGTGAAGGGACCGCCTACAGATCCATTTTGCACAGATCATGCAACTTCTTTGATCTGTCCTTCGGTCCGTCTACCTGGTTCTGTCTTCATTTGTAGCTTGATGACGACGTGCTGCCACTTTTTCTTCGTCCACCTTTTTTCTTCATTCTGTTGCAAATAGCTACTTGGATTCCTGCAGGATCTGTCGTCCGTAAAAGAGGACATCGAGCGAAAAGGATGCTGTCTGATCTGTGGACGATGCTCTTTTCTGTCTCTGTCAGCATACAGTTTTTTCTTTGCAGCTTGCTAGAGCTCAGTTTTGGTTAGCCTTAGATCAGCTGCCATGGTTAATCTTCAGCCAATAGGTAAGTACGCTTTTCATAGGTTGATCATGGATATCAAGAATATTTCAGTTGATCAAGAACTATCTGAAAAGCTGCTACTCAGGAAATATATTGAAATAGAAGAAGATAAAAGCAAAAATTCTTGGATTTCTTACCAACAGTGCTCTTTTCGTCTAAGTAGGCTTCTATGTTATAGTACAACTAATAGTACGAAAACGAAGTAGACTATTGACCCGCTCCCCACGTCGAAGATTGTAGTAAAGCCCGCCCCCACCACGACTACTGTGAAAATGAGTGATGGGGAATCCACAGCCGCAAGAGAGGGAGAAGAGAAGAAGGTGGATGATGCTGGTATCTTTAATAAACCTCGTTTTGTGCTGTCGTAGTCGTGCGTGTGCAGATGAATGAATCTGAACGAATAAGAGGTACCGCCCACGGCCTCACCCTTTCCTATTTAACAAAAAGTCCTATAACAAAAAGCTTGACGCAATCGGCCTCACCATATTTTACAGAATCAGCAACGTCGAAGGATGTCGCGAGGGACGCAACCAACACGGATAAAAAAGCGCCTGCTGCCTCAGAGGGTAGCACACTGCAGGATGCCGAGGCACGTACGACAAAAACAGGTAGTACAACGATCTACTCGAAAACTGAAAATAACCGAGTTACTGACTGAAATAAGGGAGGTAGGTAGCTTAACGTCAAGGCTACTATTCCTTCTCATCAGTATCTCGGTTATTCTGATCAGTTACTTGCTTATTTCAGTTTTTCGAATAATGTATTACTAGACGAGAAAGCAAAAGAAGTCTTCTTCAGCTGCTTGTGATTGATGCTCATTTTCATGCAGCAGATTTTTGCCAAAATTTCACGACAGACATCGGACAGACGAATCCGACGATTATGGAAAGCCAATAATTGACCTCTGGTGGCCGTAGTGTGGTTTTACAGTGCATGCACAATAATTGATTACAAGTTAATCTTCTTCCTACTATTTATGATGTGATATTTACATTTACTTACCGCCTCGTCGTTATATCGTCTCGACTTCTCGTGTCCTAGTCGTCGTTAAGTCTAGATCTTCGTGTTGTATCCGACGGTTAAGTCTAGGTCCTCGGACAGACGAATACGACGATTATGGAAAGGACTTATAAGTAATAATTGATTACATAAACAATCCCGCTTTTTACACCTCCGACTCTTCATCACAAGGCAGTCCCTCGAGACATCAGCTGCAGTGATTCACAGCATCCTAGCGAATGCAGTGGATAAAGCCGATCTAACTAGAGATCAGGGCACTAGTATTACGCCTCCAGCTGTGGCCTCTGCAGCGGCGTCACATAGGAGTAGCCTGCGAGTGGGAGAGGCGGCCGCGAGAGGTGGGGAGCAGCAAGGTGGGACAAGTGAGGAGGTAGTAGCTATGATCTTAGCTCTAATATGATCGTAGTAGCTATAATATGATCGTGTGCTTTGTATTGATGGTCGCTTATGCGCTCCTTGAAGATGAACCTAGAAGTAGTATTGATGGTGGCTTAGTGCCATAGAATGATGCTGTGCGATGAAATGCAAATCATGTTTCGAGCCAGGTACTAAAGGCAGAAGGTATGATGTCTTCTCATCCCACGCCTGCTGAAATTGAGGAAGAGTTTCTGCGGTTCTGGGCTGCTCGGAATGGTGGCGATAGTTTAGTACAAGCTTCAGCTTCCTCTCCTTTCGCTCCGATCGAGATAGCTTCAGTGCCTGCGGGCCCTCCGAGTCTGAAATATGGCCCTGCAAGGAGAGCAGAGGGACAACAAAAAGCACATTCAGTGCCGGATAAGTACAACTAAGTAGTTTTTCTCGGTAAAAAGAAATTACTTATCAACATGAAGATATCAGTTTCAAGAAGGTTCCTCATTTTTGAGTCGTATGGATGCAGCAGGTCGTCTGTAGCCATAAATGGATACTTTTTTCAACACAGGTACATCCTAAACCCCGCTTACTTGCCTCTGTCCGGGTTTTTAGATGGTCTAGTCAAAATCGTGAAGAGCTGGGCTCAAGTCCAGGAAACCGCCACTGGAAGCGGCGGCTTCCTGGACGAGCGTGAAGCAGCCGTGATTTCCTCATTGCTGCGTGTCCTCAGTCAGAAGGTGCTTCAAGTTAGCGTGGAAGAGGAACAGATGATGATGCATAGAGGAGTTGGAGGAGATGCATCGTTAAGGCTCAACTTTCAGTGGTCATGGGGGTTGGTCACTGAGATCGAAGAGGCGACCTTCCCTTGAGAGAACAGGGGAAAAGGAAGGGAAAGGGGAGAGCTTTGAAGGGGGTCCCTTCCGTTCAGAGTCATGCTGGCCCTTGAATGCTGAGCTTTAACATCAGGTCCAAAGACTCCGAAGAAGAACCAAAGAGGTTCAATCACGGGAATCGGCGATCGACAAGCACAAAAGATGTCTGGTGCATTCTTTGCGGGCATCCACCAGCCACGACTACATTTAAGGGTACACCTTTAAGGTGCTTTTGTTACCGCTTGTTATGGCTCTCTCCCTTAGGTGCCGACAGCCATAACAAGCGGTATAAACGAACACCAAAAACCTACCTCTAATTATACATCTTCTGGGTTCATCCACAACGAGTACTAGCACAGGGATGAACAACCCGCCGACACTGGTGGGCTCCTCGTCAATGCTGGAGTACTCCTCGTCTCAGTATAATCAACAACTCCGACCGACTTCGACCATGTCAGCATCCAACTTAGTTTCTGCGATGCTCTTGCCGGATGTAGCTACGCCAGACACGATTGCGTTCTCCCGAGTACAAGCAGAAGGCATAGCCAGACGACCAATTCGAAAAACAGATGCTAAGACAGCTGCACGAATCCGAGCTGCGCTATTTGAGATTTTTCTGTAATTGTCGTGCTTTTCCTGCTTAAATAGTCGAGTTTAAAAATGTGCTAGTGGACTCCATGTTGTACTTGTACTATTAACCAAGGTAGTGCCAGGCCCAGGCAGCGATCATCTATCTAAGAACAAATCACGAAGAACTACTATCTAGTGCTGCTCCTAGTCCCCGACGCCGACAGGCTACAGGGAACAATAAACTTCCACAGTTTCTTTGCCCGCGCTGACGTAGACATGGGCGATCAAGGTGATTTGCATCAGAAACCGGTCTGGGTTTCTACCTATCAGTGGGCTCTTTTTGTTATGGCATGATCTTCTGAGTCAGAGTCGGCAGACTTCCATTCCTACAAGTTGTTGGTAGAGGTGTTGTACTAGAAATATTTCCTCCTCCCTTCCTTTTCTTTTTTTACCCAACCCCTTTTCATATCCCCTCAAGCCTTCTTTCTCCCGGAGCTAACTGGCATATCGAGAGACGACATCCTCTCAACCTTCGGACCGAAGCGGGAGCCCATCGATTTTTTGACCTTTACCGAGTTGGTCGCTGACCTCGCGATAGCGTTTATCGAACGCGTCAATGATGGGAAAATTATGGTGACGTGGTGCATCAGGACTAATCATGCTGACCTTGTAAAACTCATTGAATTTGTTGTTGTGCTTAGGCTAGTACTACCACAATATTGAATATATTTACTTATTTCAGTGTGGTCACTCAACAGCACCTCCACCTTCCTTCCTTTTTCCATCTCTCCCTTTCATATCTCCTATGCAGAGTCTGAACCTTGGAGGCGACCACACGGATCGATTGGCTGCCTTATATCGGTTTTGTGAGGTGTTTGGCATGCACACAGAGCAGCAGTCCTTCAGACGATTTCTGAGACGTCGAGAACGCATCCGAGTCCGAAGTCCCTCGCCACACTTAGAGCTGCTGAGGAATAAGTAGTCAATCCTAATGTCCTTGTTAATGTCCTTCTTGTGCTGTTTTCTGAACTTCTTGTATCAAGAACACGGATAGCTGCAAGCCCTCTCTATCACCGAAAAATGATTCATCCGTCTTCATTTTCATCTTCCATTTTGATCCCTCTAGACTAACACCACAAGAACTTCAGGCACGTCGAGGTACGTTCGCCAGTAGCAAGGCCTCGAGGAACGGGCTTTCCTAAGAATAGTCCGAAAATGAGTCGTGTGAAAATGCTGAATCCAGCGGCAACACTTTTTGAGCAAAACGAAGACCAAAAAACACGACACGAGGCTGAACTTCTTGCCCAACGACAAGCCCTTCTTGGTGGAACAACGTCATCATCGCTCTATCATCGACCAATGGCAGCTACCGCTTCTATGGGAAATTTTCCTTCTTTAGCGCGGCAGCACTACATTAGTATGCCTAGTACTAGTATGGACCACCACACAGCTCCTCCTCCTGCTAGCAGTGCAGGTCGTTTAGCAGAGCAACAGCAACTACTTCTAGAACAAATGATGCTGGGTGTGGGTCAAGGTCAAAATGATCCTTTACTTCACAGCGTTCATAGTAGGATCATTACTCCGGGATCCCGAACCGGACTCAAATCTTCAGCGTTGCAGCAAAATAAGATTACTCCTGGATCGACCAAGAGTAGCGTTGTTCAAAACTCCTGCTCTCTAAGAGGAGATCCACCTCAACATCAAAGGAGTAGTAACACCAAAGTACAACTTCTACCAAACACCAACACGACGAGCACGACGAGGAGTGCATCCATATCTTCACGTGCATCACCCCCCGCGACTACCAAGAAGAAAGTAACATCATCTTCTGCAGCCGCGAAAGTAACATCATCTAGCGCAGCTTTCGACAAAAAAAGTGCTTCAACATCTGGGCAACAACCACCTCCTGCAACAACCTCAAGTAGTCGTGGAGGGACTGCTAGTGCAGCAAGCGAATCAGGACCAGGGACTGCTGCCGCGGGAGCAGCTTCAGTAGAGGTAGAGGGTGCTGCTGCCGATGAAGCAGGCCAAGAGTGGACCGCAGAGGAGTGGGCACAGTGGGAAGCCGAACAGGCACAGGCCGCAGCCAGGTCAACAAGTGAAGACCAGAATACGCCTCAAGATGGAGGTGGTGGTCGAGAATGGACAGACGAAGAATGGGCTGCATGGGAAGCAGGACAACAGGGAGAATTAAGGGTATATTAACGTAAGCCCATCTCTGACGCCATCTTTTTCTTGTCCATTTCTACTCGAAATGAGCTAACAAGAGATGTCCTAAAAAAAGATGGGTTGCTGGTACCTCTAAGAGAAGGTGAGGCATGGGGAGACGATCAAAATGCAGTAGATTAAGGCTCAGCTTTCAATGGTCATTGGGGTTGGTCACTGAGATCGAAGAGGCGACCCCTTGAGAGAACAGGGGAAAACGAAGGGAAAGGGGAGAGCTTTGAAGGGGGTCCCTTCCGTTCAGAGTCAGTGACCATTGAAGGCTGAGCTTTAAGTAGAGCAATGGGTGGAAGGCGGTGACCAAAATACTGCGACAGGCGGTGACGCGGCTGATTGGTGGGGTGAGGAAGGAAACTGGGAAGATGCTGAGGGAGGTGCTGGCGAGGGATGGTACGGAGAAGGAGATGACCAACAATGGACAGCTGAAGAGTGGGCGGCGTGGGAGCAACAAGGGTGATTCATACGGATGCACGTAAATACTTAGATGTAAAAAAAGAACCAGATAAGCTCTTATTTCTTAAGTATGGTCTTAGGCAGCTCGCCGAGTAGATTCAATTCATCAAGCTGTTTCTTAAGTATTAGATGGTTGCGATTAACCAAACCACGACCAGGGACAACAGAAAGAACATTCCAAAACGAACAAATAGAAGTTTAACCATGATGAAGCGAGGGTGGACGAAGAGGGTTGAGGATGTTGTGTTACACTGTAGAGCAAGATAGATCTAGTTATATTTATAACCTTTTTCATGACGATGACTTTTTTCCAAAAATGACCACCACGATGGACGAAGTTGATATTGAAATTTAGCGACGTGGTAGAAAGTAGCTAGGTTGTAGAACGGAATATTAGTACGAGGACGAAGAACACCAACAAGATCATTCACAGCACAATAAAGACACCAGGTTCGATACCGTTATCGTTATAGACAATAGACCACTTGAAGACAATATAATTTCATTGAAGACAAAATGTCTAGTTGTTCTACTTGTTGTGCGACACTTTTTTTTGATCACACACAGTAATATAGGTACTAGTGGAACGAGTCAACAAAATATAGTGATGTTGTCTGTATAACTACTGCGTTCCACCTCTCAAGAAACACGTAATAATAGTGGTTCAGATGAATGCTGGAACGCTTTTTTTTTTCTGCTGAGCTACCTACGACCAAAGAATAAGTGCAAGTGTGCTCCGCTAGATCGACACCGATGCTCGCTGGTAGTTGAGAAGAACTATCTGAGACGCACACGTGACATGTTCGCATATATCTACCAGAGAAGGTGTAGGCATTTGTTCCACTCTTAAAAAGACTTTTTTTAAGATGGTTGTGTAAAAATTTGCTGGCTGGCTGCCTCTCTGCGTGCTTGTGCGGGAAAGGAATGGCGCGCCCGAAATAGGCCCCGCCCCCCTCGGTGAGAGGGTCGACCCGGCGCTTGTGAGAGCAGTGGGTGTCGGGATGGTCCATCTCGGTCGGGTGCAGCTGTGCTGCTTGCGTAGTCCTCTGCGGTTGTTGCAGGTGTTGCTTGGTTTGTTAGTCTCGCTTCCTTTGAGCGTCCTCGTTTCGCTGCTCCGGGCGCACGGGCGTGGCCCTTTCAGTCCGCCTAGCATCTGCATCTGTCGCGTAGCCGCGTTTCTCTTTCTGCCGGCTATTCTGGGTGGGCGGGTGGGCTTCGCCCGCTGCTTGTCTTCTCTGTGTGTCGCTATGCGCTAGAGTGATGTTCCGGCCGCGGCCATTCGTGCGCTCGGCTTATAGGCTTACTTCGGACTGGGACGATTATTCCGTTAAGACGAGTACTCCTAAGTCTTCTAAGATAGTTGCGTAGGTTTTGATCTACTGTGCATAGAAGTAGAGCATAGACATCATTGAAATTTATACTCATAATATTATTGCTATTGGAAAAGTGTAAAATTTAACAACTACTTAGTAGTTGAGATATAAGTTTCTAGTCTAGTAGTTGAGATATAAGTTTCTAGTCTTTTTTGTCTCCTACCATCCAGCATCAGCATGTATAGAAAAATATAAAAACGAACACTGTGAGCATGAGAATGTTGAGCGGCCCAGTTTCTTACAGCTATAAGGCTAATGATTTTACAGGATGCAGGTCTGGACAAGCACGCTAAAACCGAAATGCATCTTGACAAACTCGCCAAGCAGCACCGAGACCGTTGGAGGAAACTACCTGATCGAGGAACTAATCGTCCCGTGGGTGACGAAGGGGCAAAGCTTTTGGTTGCGCTGTGTGAGTTCCGTGATGAATAAATGAATGTAGACCACTCTAGTGTCGTGAAGTAACGCTTTTGATCCACTTGTGTTTGATGTTAGGTAGATCATGCCGTGAAAAGTCGTTTTTTCAAGCATATAATAGAACAGGAGTTGAACGAGGTTCCTCGGTCAGAGCAAAGTTTCTGTAGTCCGATGTTCCTCGGTCAGAGCAAAGTTTCTGTAGTCCTCCATCGGACAGTTGTACTATCGTTGAAGCACCATAGGGCATCGGACAGTTGTACTATCGTTCTTGCAGCTTGCTATTGTGCGAGGACTGAGCTGAAGAAAGGGTCTTCACGACGAGAACTCTGAAGGTATCGGGTGGAACAATACAAAAATGTTGGTGTGGTCATAAGAAAGTGTAAAAGTATTTGAGTTTTCCACTTCCTTGCACGATTGAAGAAAGGAGGAGAATATAAATGGAATTTTTAACTCTTGAGCGGGTCTTTGGTGTGGTGGTCTGGGTAAATTAGTGGTGGAGTATGATCTTGAGTGTCTTCTCCGAAAAAGGTGTCTTGATTTGTTACTCTATTAACTTGGGCGTAGCATATTTCCAATGTTCTCTATTGCTTTCTTGTGATCATCTTATGTATTTTTTTCGTGCTTTTTGGTTCTGATAAACCTTTTTCTGAAAAACCATACTGATGTGATATTTGTTTTCCTTGCTTCTCATCTTAATGCACTTGCACATGTCTATATGCTGATGCTCCTATTTTTCCAAAGACCTTCATGATGTTTTTGCATGGATGACAAACACAAAAGCCAAACCTTGTTTTCATCCAAATTTAGCTGTGCAGGAGCAAAGACGCTGGAAGTGCTTAGCGTGTAGCTAAGAGACGGCGAACTTTAAGCCGTAATCTACTCTTCTTCGTCCTTTGCCTTGCTTCTGACCCGTACTATGAGAGATGAGAGTGAGCGTGTCTGCTCTGGCCCGCTACATGAACTTTTTCAACAAGAACACAAGATCAGGGACTTCGACGGACAACTTCTTACACTTCATATGTGTCCAAAATCACCTCAAGCAAGTCGAGGAACCAGATCCAATATATATAACGATACCAACGCCTGGACCTGCTCCACTCCTCCTACAGTTGTAGAGCTGCAGCTGTGGTCGACAAATATGCATCGTCCACTATCATATCTATCAATCTCCTCAATCTTAGGCATGCAATAGACCCCATTTTTAGAATAGATGACGGATAGGAGCCTATCTTGATGGTTTCTTGTCCCATAGCCACATGCATGCTTCTTGTACTATTGAAATTAAACGCATAATTGCAATTATTTTTGCAATGTTCTGTTGCTCACAGTAAGTTGTTACATCAGGTTATTTTCCCCTAACCTTGATGTATCTTAACCTTGATGGAGAAGGTTATGGACGAGGCGAGCATCACCTCCGTTTCCGGTGAGGAGCAAAGGCAGTTGGCACTACCAAGTAGAGGAGCGACAACTTTACTTGGTAGTGCCGACGATGGGACGAGTCCGACCGGCAGGAGCAAGAGTATGTCGAGCTCCACCAGGACTGACCATGATAGGGTCCTCGTTGTGCTCTCGACTGATCATGCAGGAGATGCTTCCAGGTCGACCCTCACTTCATCCACTGGTGCCACATCTTCTACTCCTGCGGCTTCCACTTCGACCCTCACTTCATCCACTGGTGCCACATCTTCTACTTCTATTGCAGGAGACGCTTCCACTTCGACCCTCACTTCATCCACTGGTGCCACATCTTCTACTGCTAATATGCAAGTGTTGAAACGACAACGAGCGGTCGCACGACCAGGAGGTGACGACAAAACGATTCCTCCGAAGACGAAGAAGGAGAGGAAGATGAAGAAAGTAGAAGGTCGTCAAGGTAGTACTGACCACACGAAGAAAAATAGTTCTTCGAGCACATCGACGGAGGACACGGGAGGACGAGACAAGGAAAAGGGCGATATTTTTAAGCAGGGGAAGGAGCAAAAGTTGCAGCATTCAGCATCTCCATCTTCATCGTCTTCAGATGGAAAAAGGAAAAAGAAAAAGAAAGGTCATGGTGAAGGAGAAGTAAGGGTAGGCTAAAGGTGCTTTTCTTACCGCTTTTTATGCCTCTCCTAAGGGAGAAAGGCATAAAAAGCGGGGTAAGCGAGCACCAAAAACCTACCTCTAAGAGAAGATCGTGCCACGTCCAACGTGGAATTCCGAATTAAGCATGGTTACCACGACATTGCATTCTTCTTCTTCACTACCATCATCCTTGGCTTTTTTTCCAGTAGGAAAAGGGTCGTCAGGGAAGATCATGTTCTTGACCTGAAGAATGCAATGTCGCAACACCTGCTTTAACCGAAGCAGATTGCAGCAGGACTACAGTACTAATGGTTCTGAAGAAGAGCAGAAGCAGTCGCCTTCTTCTACTTGTTCATCTATTAAAAGTCGTCACCACCAGGAGAGGAACAAGAAACGGATGCTGCAACAACTTCTAAAGGGCAAGAATAGACGATGTGGAGGACGCTGGCCATGGCACAAAAGTTGTCGAAGAAGAAGTACAGGAACTTCTAGTGGTCCATACGAAGAACGTGGTCCACGAAGCTCGTGCTGGTGCTTTCGAATTCCAATCACGTGGACGTCGATGACACCCCAACAACGCCTACGGTGGAGAAGGAGCTCATCCCCAACAACGCCTACGATGCGCAAGGTTGTACTATTGGCGTATTTTCTCGTCCCCATGGTGTTTGTCCTGATCTGCTGGCTCGGGTCGACTGTCCTATTTTCTTCGCAGCTCTCCTCTGAAGAAATAAGACCTGAAGAACGAGAACAGCAGAAGCAGAAGCAGCAGCAGGAGGTATTTGATGTTACAGAGAAATCCATATCCAGCACGTCAGCTTCAAGTGTCAGGAGTGGAAAGAAAAAACAAGCTAGAAAGAAAAAACAAGCCAGAAAGAAAAAACAAGCCAGAGGGCTTCTATTTCTAAGAGGTGGATATCGCAGAGAAGACGACGAGCCACCAGCTTCTAGTACAACTCCTACTCTTTCTTCTTCCTCAACACGGAGTAAGGGACGCCTGAGAGGCTCCAACTCAGCAAGCGTAGCGACCAGCAGTAGCACTTCGTCTACTTTAACAAGAGCGGAAGTAGAACACAGAACAAAGATCATAGATCACGAGGATACTTCTGCATCTACTAGTTCCACCAGCAGCGTCCCAACATCAAATTTAAGGGACGAGCAGAAGACGACCTCTACAGATGTCCGTATAGTTGTTGCAACTGGCACTACGGCTGCCTCTAGTTCTAGTGGCGAGCTCTGCGATGAGAAGGTGGCGAGCTCTGCGATGAGGAGCATGACGTTGACGAGGATGACTGAGGCTTCTCTCTTAGAGGACGACAGCTCTGACGGCTGCTTCTCCACCTCTACTGCGGTCTCCCAGAGTGATCATCATGTTCAAAGAACCTCTCGCGGCACGACCACAAGTTCAACAAGTCCTTCCCTTTTGGAGTCTCATGTTACAACAACTCCTCATGGCGATGGCAAAACAAGTGGAACAACTTCGTCTTCTCTCTTGGAGCAGGGGAAGCAGCCGACGCCTTCCTCTTCCACTCCTGGCGCCAATAGGGTTGGGGCTACCACTTCTTCACTGTTGGAACAAGCGGAGCCGTCGCCTTCGTCGTGTTGTGGTTGTTGTGCAATCGACGCTGACGTTGATGATAAAGTGGAAATTGCATACGACACCTTTAAGGCTTAGCTTTTTACTATCGTCTGGTGTGGACGTGGAGTGAGTACACTGTTGAGAGAGTCAGTTTCAGTGGAGTAAGTACACTGAGAGTAGAGTCAGTGTCACTGATCAAGTGTTACTGAGGAGTAAGTATCCCGTTCTGTGCAACCTTCCTTATTATAGAATAGTTTACAGAACGGACGTAGGATGGACTTGGATGGTTCGGATGGACCCCCCTAAGTAAAGTCTTCCGATCCTCCTGGAAATGATATGATGGGAAGCCCATCCGTTCCATCCCATCCTGGACCTGGCACCCCTATAAGTTAAATTCTATCCATAGATATTAACTGAAGTATGGAACTTTAGTCATTGTTCACAATTAGGGACTGATAAGTGAACATGCCAACGCCTAAACCACTAAGCCAACTGCGCTTAGTGTTTTAGGCGTTGGCCTGTTCTCTTATCAATCAAACTACCAGGGAGGGCTCGGCCGCCTCTCTCGCGGTCTCTGTCGCTAGGCACCCCCTGCCGTGGCTAGGTGGTTCACCGCCTTGAATTTGCGCCCGGTATCACTAGGCTGCCAGGCTCGTTGGGGTCTGGGCTTGCGGCATTCTCGCGATCTCTGTGGCCAGGCTCCCTCCTTCTTGGGTGGGGCCGGTCAAGTTTGCTGATGCCGGGCTCATCGGTGGCTGCGTCTTACAGACTTGGCCCATTCTGTGGCGGGTGTGTGCACTGGAGCGCGCTCAATCAGACGCCCCCCACCTTTTGGCCCCGAAGCGTATTTTGAGCTCTGTCACTTTTTTTGATATTACCGGGACTCGCGCCTTAGGTACTAGTTCCCTTGATAAGTGAACAGGCCAACGCCTAAACCACTAAGGCAACTGCGCAGTTGGCTCAGTGGTTTAGGCGTCCCATCCTTTGAAGATTTCGTAAAGGGGAAAAAATTCAAAAGGGAAAGAACCAAGTAGCAACGAAGAACCCACTTAGCGTCAACCTATCACTCAACGTCAATAAAGTGGGAAAACAGCCTAGGACTGACAGTGAAAAACTACTATTAAGGCTTCTTCTAACGCCTACATCTATTGGTCGGTAGACGCGGACGGCAAGCGGAAGAAAATCAGAGAAGAAAGAAGGCCGTTCGTCAAGGAGGACAAAACGAAGAATCTTCAGGTCGAAGATTATGGACATATTACTTAGTAGACGAAAGTGTAGACATATGAATATGATTGACTTGTATGATGTCGAATAACAATATTTGGACCTTCTCCTTCTCCCTCTAAAAACTTGATGAAGACCCTGGGGCACAA